GATATCGGCATCTTTGTACGTTTTTGTTTATATTTCCAATGTTAATTACTTACTGACCAGGACAAAAATTTTTTTTTTCATTTTATCATTGTGAATTTCAAAAAAACATCTTTCACTGAAAGTAATTATTAGCAAATTTAGTTTAATTCAATTGAATTTTTTATTTATTTATATTTATATTTGACATTATTACAATATTTAAATTATGGTTTGCGTATTTTTGATTGTATTATTATTCTATTGTTCCTCATACTTTTTTATAGTTTTACTTAAATTAATCAATTTAATTTTGAAAATTTGTTTTAAAAAAGTTGGAGTAAGTACTCCTCTAATCCTCCCTCCCCGGAATTACGACACTGATAGAGCTATAGTTGTTGGTAATTGCAATTAGGTACCATAAATAAGGGTCATAAAGTTCATTTGTCTTTGTGGTAGCCTATTCAGTCCCTTTTGTCCTTATCATTTTAAGTGTTACATTATAAAAAAATCATTTAGAGACATAAGGCTATCGATATAATATTATATGAATTATAATTGCATACATATATTGTATGCAAAATAGTGAAACAATAAAACACCCTTATCAATAATATCAAAAGTTGTTTTCAGACTTTAGCATTTCTTTCCTATACAAACATCTTTTAATAATATTAATATTAGATTCTGTGCGGAGCGTGGATGTTTTGGGTTTACAAAGACGTTTATTTGTTTTCTGTGGACAACTTTTCTACCAGCAATTTTGCTCCAATATATATAGATACATTAAATTTCCCTTCTGCCTTCCTAACTTATCACCTTGCTTGGGTGTCCCAACTATCATGAAATCCATTTATCTTTTTTATTAATTTGAATATGGATAAAAAATGTTTTGTTCTTATGTCACATGCAACAACACGGACAAAGACAATCGTATTTGTACCCATTTCCGTTTTATTAATTTCCAAATGAACAAAATATGTTAGTTGTTTTGGTTTTTTTATTATAATAATATTACAGCCCTAATTTCTATAGTTTTTCATAAATCATAGATGTAATCAACGGGTTAAAAAACTAAAAACAATTTGTTAATTAATGTTTTTGAACAAAAAAGCTCGGACTTTGTAAAATACAGTTATTTATTCAATTAATTTTAAAGATTATGCAATTGGAAACAGGTTGTTCGTATATTATAGATATTTTATAAGATATTTCTGTATAATATATTTTTATCTTTAATAGATTTTTGTTAATAAGGTTCCAGACAAAATTTTTTTAGTGTGTAAAAGTTTGATTTCGTCATCAAATAATTCTACTTTAGAATACAGTCAGGCTGTTGGATAATTATGATACAAATCCACGTTAAACAACCCTTGTTTAAATTTCTACATTCCATACAGCCAGGGACATTCTTCAGGGGGGGGGGTTGAAACTCTCTCAACATTTAGAAAAAAAGTATTCCTTAATACGTGTATACAATTTAAGTTTGATATTACAATAACATTCGCCTGGTTATTTTTATAATCCATTGTCAACATATCGACAATGTATCATTTAACAACAAATACAAATCAAAAATGTATAATTTATTAATTATTGTATCGCATTATATTTTAATAACTATTACCGATCCACGCGATTCTATATGTCAAAGAATTTAACACGATTTAGTTCGACCAAGTTTACCCACAGTATACAGCACAGTGTTACAGTGAATCAGTTAGCAAGTTCAATACATTTGAAATACGCGTGCAATTATAACTATTGACCCCCACCCCCTTAAAAATAAAAGAAGCCTAGCCATTTATTTTTTATAAATAATATTTTGATCAAACGACGTAGAAGTAAACTTCACAAAGTATATGTCAACATAGTAACATATAACAGATAACAATTTGTTTTTGTTAATTATCATAATACTAATCGTATTATGTAGTATACATTTTTCAAATCCGTACCACACACTTTTAATTTTGGACTACACATACTTTGTGTCAGAATTTCACTAAAAAAAATTTTGACTGCAGTTTAGCACCCTTCTAAAGTTTATGAATACCCCCCAAAATATTTAAGATAACTAAGCACTTCATTCGATAAAATCCTTTGCTAAAATTATTTAGGATTTTACCTATGCAGTTCAACCAAAATTATTCTTGAAATGTTGATGTTATGCATACAACGCTATACCGTTTGAATATCGTGAAGCTCTATAATATTGTCCATTTTGATTTACCGAATAATTATTATTATAATTTTGTAAAAGTACCTACCTAGAATATGATATATTATAGATCAATTTTAACTGATTCAAACGACCTACCCACTCACTGAAAAAATTCAAAGTTCATGATCTCTCTAAAATATCTTCGCCACGCTACTGTATACAGGTCAGTGGTACATCACATACAAGTTTACCTAGTTGTTCTTTTAAGTATAACGGTTAACATAATAAAACAAATCACAAAAGAAAAAAAAAATCATTTGAAAATTAATTAGGTAACCGATATTTAATAATATCCTTAATAACACAAAATAATAACATTTGCTATTAGTCATCTATATATTCTAGTGTTTAGCCAAGGTTAATAGCCGATAACTACCTAATATACGTCCGTGGGTAGTACTATCTATCTATAAACCTTGGTGTTTATCAACAATATATTTTGTTTATTCTATATTCCCCCATAAAATCGATAAGCTTCCCGTATTCTCATCTATATTATTTGGTAAAGAGTAGAGGAGTCATAGCATTGATTATAATATATGTTAGTACTATAGTCAATATTTACAAAATTATATATAATCAGTGACAATAGGTTCTGATAAAAATCTTGGGTTATCAATTATTTTTATCGTTATTATCTACTACCGTAATATTAAAAATTATTTTGATGATTTGTAAACTTGTTTATGAGTTTTTGGAATTAATTTTTATTTGATATGAATTTAATATTATTATAATATGATATGATATGATATGATATAATATGATTAAAGTCGATGATAAATTCTAATCTACTTTGAAGCTCAAAATTTTTTAATTGTCAATTTATTAGACTTTAGGAATGAATTATGCTCCTAAAAATTTGTTTGAAATGAATGGATATAAATTTTTTTTATTCGGTTGTTTGTTTACGTCTGTCACTTGGTCTTTAAGTTTGTACATGTATTGGAAACTTAGCACCAAGCCCGAAAGTTATTCACAAGCTAAACTCTATCGAAGCGAGAATACTTTTGAATATGTAAGGAAACAAAAATCTAAATATTTTAAGAGCCATGTGGATAAAAATGGTTGGTGCATACTCATATTTTTTTAAATTAAGTTGGTTTTTTAATATTTAATTCTTACCTATTTACATTTTACACTGTATTATTTTTATATAGACATTGATGGCTTGGGAATTATTAAAAATGACGATGATATGATTATTAGAGATAAAGGATACAAAGACCATGGGTTTAACGCTTTAGTAAGTTTGAGATTAGGCAATTTTCGTGATCCATTGCCTGATACTAGACATAAATTGTAAGTCAATATTTTATTTAAGAAAGTATACATTAAATTTTCTGAATGCATATTATTTATTACCTTTATCTCTTAGATGTTCAACAATAAATTACGATCAAAACTTGCCTACGGCTAGTATTATAATTTGTTTTTATAATGAGCATCCACAAGCTCTTTTTAGGACTATAGAATCAGTTATTAGACGGACTCCAAGAAATATGTTACATGAAGTCGTATTAATAAACGATTATAGTGATTCACGTAAGTAAAATCTAATAATTAACATGTTTTGTTAATGTGTATTACATACGTAAATTATTATTATTATTATTTTTAGCAAATCTACATGTCACAGTTGAGCAATACATACAAAATGAAAAGATTCAAGATATAGTCCATTTAAGAAAAACAGCTGTAAGAGAGGGTCTTATTCGTGCAAGATTATTTGGAGCCAACTTAGCAACTGGTCAAGTAAATTAATGTCTTAAATTAATGTATATTTATATGTTTAGTTAATAATACGGCCCAAATTAATAATGAATAAAACTCTAAAAATAATATAAATGAATATATAAACATTACATTTTAAAATTAAATAGAGATTACTACTGTTATCGTTATAAAAATTGTGTAGTTAATCAATTAAACTTTATATTGTTCATACAGTATTATTCAGATATATATTTAATGTTGAATAGGCCTATCAGGAAATTAGTATTTTCCAGATGAGTCCCCGTCTGAACTTAATTATGGGACTTTTGCCTGTAGTTTGAGTATGTTATGAGTAAAGGAGAATCTGAATCAGTAAGAATTGTATTCAGAATTATGAGAGGAAAAAGAGGGAAAGGAAATCTGAAAAAGAGGTGGTTGAATTTGATTGAGAACGATATGAAGATAAGTAGTGTGTGTAAGGTGGGAGATTGTGTCAAGTGGAAATTTAGAACGGTGGCCAATCCTAAATAGTTGGGATGAATGCAAAATAGAACAAGAAAATAATGTTAAATAAAATGTCTGTCAATATCTATGTAGATTATATCTAGCATAATAGGTATCTATCCATTTTATATATTACCTATATTATAGTTAATTCAAAATTATTGGTAAAAATTTTGGATAATCACAAAATAAATTATCTATAATTTTAATGTTCTTATGAACCCTGATTTTTAGGGTTGAACCTAACCAAACTGAACTTTTCTTAAAAATCAACAAACCTAAACTGATTGGAACTTTTAAAATATTTTATCGAACTCTAATTAAACATTAAAAAGTAATCCTGTATTTTTATGGTAGAAGTTGTATATTTGTATGAAATTTAAAAAATAAAGTTTAATAAAATATGAGACTCACTAATGTAAAAAAATCGATTTTTTTTTTTTATAATAATCGCTTTATCCCACCATAGAACATTGTATTGGTGCCACGCTGAAACGGCATGAAACAATTTTTAAACGGTACTATTGGTTATTTGGTTTGGTTTGATTATTTGAAATTTTCAATTCGGTTTAGTTCGAAAATTGAACAGTTCATAGCATACCAAATTATTTCATTTGTATTCCTCATTAAATTATGAAAATTAATACAGAAATAATTATACCAGTTTTATTTTTATTTTGTTCTATTAGGTTTTAATATTTCTTGACAGCCACGTAGAAGTAAATGTAGATTGGATTCAACCACTTTTGACTAGGGTACGTGATAATCGTACCCAAATTATTGCTCCTATTATTGATATCATTCAACCAGACACATTTGATTACAAATCATCTCCATTGGTTAGGGGTGGCTTTAATTGGGGATTAAATTTTAAATGGGACAGTTTACCAAAAGATACATTAGTTACAGATGAAGATTTTGTGAAACCAATTAAGTAATATTCTTTTATAACTATATATGCAGATAAAAGTATATATATATATATATATATATCTTAATTACAGAACACCAACTATTGCTGGAGGCCTTTTCGCTGTGGATAGAAATTACTTCAGTGAAATTGGCCAATATGATTCCGGAATGAATATATGGGGAGGTGAAAACTTGGAGTTATCATTTCGAGTAAGAAATAAATGATTCAATGTCTATTCTAAATGATTTATAATGCATGAGTAAGTTATTTATCTTAGACATTTAAGTTAATTTTAAACTATTATTATCTATATTACTTTTAAAATTTTAAACAGATATATTAAAATATAACATATTTTTTTATACAATTTTTTAGGTGTGGATGTGTGGAGGTTCACTTTTCATAGAACCATGTTCTCGTGTTGGACATGTATTTAGGCAACATCGACCATACTCAGCTCCAAATCATGAAGACACTATGGCAAGGAATTCTTTGCGACTTGCAAATGTCTGGATGGATGATTTTAAAGTGGGTTAGAAATATAAAATTATTTAAATAATGTTATAAAATGGTGTATTATTTACAGAAATTCTTTATAAGTAAACGATTGAATTTACTCCGCCTAGATTATGGTGATGTATCTGATAGAAAAGCTTTACGTACCAAATTAGGGTGTAAAAATTTTGAGTGGTACTTAGAAAATGTGTATCCTGAAATGCTATTACCAACAGATGAAATCGATCGTCTCAGTAAAAAATTAGAAAATGTAAACAAACCAGTTTTTCAACCATGGAATAAACGGATTCGTAACTATACAGCAAAGTTTTTGGTATGATTTATATATAATGCTTAGATTTATATATATATTAATTTTACAATTTGTTTTAGATTAACTTAAGTAATACAAATTTGTGTGTCCATCCAATTAAAGGACACCAAACAAAAAATAGTAAACTTGTTCTTAGATCTTGTATTCGGAACAAGGAACAAGTTAGTGTCACAAGTATCTATGTATAATATTAATTAATAATTTTTCTATTTAACAGTTTGAGAAACATTTTAGATATGGTATGAAACTGATAAAGAAGAACTAGTTTTATCAAAACTTTTATGTTTGGATAGTGCTTCAGGCAAGCCAGTTATAGGAAAATGCAGTGAAACCGGAAGCTCACAACGGTGGAAACATTCAGATGATGTAAATATAAAACTTAATATAATAATAGTTAAGGGGTTTCTATACATAATTTATTTTTTTTAGTCTTATGCCTTAGCATAATATAACAAATACATTTCACACTTCAATGATTGCAACTTTTTGGTTATATTTAAGATAAGAAAATTTTCATTTTTACAATGAAGAAATCTGTGTTTAAATTTATTTAAATCAGAATACTCATCTTTATGCATAAAAGATATTAACCAGAGAGTCGAAGTAATTGAAGTGCGAAACTTATTTATTGCTAAATTAAACACAAGACAGACAGGGAAAAAACATATGTGTAGAGGTCATTTAAGAAGATATTAAAACTTTTAAATATTACTGTGTTAATAGAACTATGGGAAAGTGCATTTAAAATTTAGTTTCAAAATTTTTAATGAAATTAATTAAAACATTGATTTATTATGTTTTCTTTAGAAATAAAGATGATATAAGTAGAATTACAATTGTCAATTAATAGCATTCTAAATGTTTAGTTAATTGTAATAACAAACATAGAGGTTTCTAAAATAACTACAATACAAACTTAGGATGTCCATAAGTCATGTTCAAATTTACTTATGAATATATGCATAAGATCTTGTTACTCAAAAATGTAGATCTTCAGTTGACTTTGCTGGACTTACTTGTACATAATATGATACAGTTATGTTTTAAGATGACCAAGTTCTTTTCAAAAAATGATTTTAGAATGTTGTGTATTATCTTAACATTGTAATTTACTGAGCTGTTAAGTCTAAATGTTTAAGAGTATATACAAAAAATTATGTTCCAATTTAATCTTTTTTAAATTCATCAGTTTAATAAAGAGTATGTTTAGTCTCTATATTTTCAATGCTACTTCATTCAGGGTTAAAGATAGACCAATCTTTAACCTGTTTATGGTTCAAAAAACTTTTCTTTCAAACATGATAAGTTCTGTACAGTCGCCTTTAGTCAATGACCAAGTTTCACAAGCATATGTTATTACAAGTTGATTAGTTCGGTAGTTCGTGAATTCATCTCAAGTGGTCAAAGATTTTTTTTATGTTTATTAGTTTTATAATTTAAAAATTTAAGTCACATTAATTAAGGACCTATTAATAACCTTAGCTAACCTTTATTATTTTTAATAAATAAATACAAATATTTGTCCAGAACATTTAGTGTATTGTTGATTTATTAAATACGCATAAATTATAAAGAAATAAGTGAAGGGGGAGTGGAATTAAGTAGTAGTTTTATGGAGGTGGAAAATTTAGTGGTCCGTGCCTAATGTTGAGTTAGGAACCACAGTTCTAGATAATAACTTAGATCTTAGGATTTAATTGTTTAATTATACTGAAATAACAACTATTTTCACTTTTGATTCGTTAATTTATATACGCGTCATTCTTATTAACACGATATTAACGCGTAATTATTTAAAATCTTTAATTTTTTCAAATTCATAATTGTCTATTAAAAATCTATATTTGGCAGTCATCTTGATAAGACTATGTAATTCATTTTTTCTTTGTTCACATGGAATCCTTTCTCTTTTTTTGCATTTATGAGTTTTGATGTTGCATTGATGACTTCTTCTTTGGTTTCATCAATCACTACAATGTCACACGTATATGGTAACAAATTGTTCATTAACTATTTTTATCCTTCATGATTAGTGTCTCTTATTATTTTTTCAAGTGTCAAGTTAAATAATGTGGGTAAAAGACATTCCCCTGTTTTGGGCCAGATTTAACTTCAATTATATTCTGTTGTATATATTACAAATATAGTTTTCATTGATTATAGTTATACAGAATCAGTACTTTTTATAGGAGTTGGTGTTCAAAAAACAATAGATTAACTTTTAGGTAATGTTTGTATTTTTTTATTATAATAACTTTAAAAAGGTTTGAAAAAAAAACTTGATATATCAATTGTAAATCATATGATAAAATTATATTTTTCAGAAAGGAACTGCATTATACAATTTGGCTGCTGGAACATGTCTTAGTGTAAATGAGAAGAAGATAAATGCAGAAATTGTTATGAACATATGCAACAATGAAAGTTCATACAATAAATGGAACTTAGTAATCATTTAATATTTAAGTTATAGTGCTATAAAGAAAATTTAATGGATTATGTATAATACTATGTATACTTTTACAATCAAATCTAATTGTTTATCAATCTTATAAACCATAATCTATTAAAAGAACAATATTAATATTATTGATAGTATTGTAATTATAAATTTTGTACCCTAAAATGTATTTGTTACAAAAAAAAAAATAAATAGTTTAACTGTATATTTCCTAGTACATATTAATTATTTATTATATTAAAATCAATCCGCAATCATTTGTTTGAGCTATACTATTGTCAAATGTAGCACACAGAATTGTATAGTCTGCACAGAATAAACACCGACTAAATTATAAACAGGACACTGATATTCATTGATTTTTGTTAGTAAAGGCCAAATTTTTACAATAACATATAGAAATATATCAAATTTACTAAACATAATATTTTATACATTGTATATTCTGTATACTAGTACTTAATATTATGTAGCCATACATTATAGGTAATAAGATAACATACCTACCTATAAGGTATGTGTGAATGCATTAAAAAATGATAAATAAATTTGATATCCAAAACGATATTGTATTAAATATCATTAGCCATCACTAAATTTTATCGTACAATGTTTGTATAAAACATTTATTTAACACATTTGTACAAACACTGATATTCTGTGCCAAGTTCATTTTAAATACATACAGTCAAATTCGCTTATAACGATCTTCTAGGGACCTGGGGAATCTGATTGTTATAACCGAACTTCGTTATGTCCGGATCATAAAAAGTAACATGATTTTTTTGAAAAATTGATTTATTAAACATATTTTTTACTTTTTAATTTTATTTAAGATTACATATTTTTACATTCAAGGTATTTATATAAATTTTAATAAAAGTATATACTATAATATAGGTATATAGTATATGTTTACGATTTGTTTGAAAAATAATCTTTAATAGTGGTTTGTTTATAATTAGAATATGATTTTTTAACAAAATTAGAAATATTATTTAATGCCATTGATACTTCTGGCGTATTTATGTCACTGTTTACCGAAACAAAAGTACGCACGTGATCAATATAAATACATTTCCGAAATAGATGGTACTTTGAATACTATTTCTTCGCTCTCTTCGTCACCTTGTTCACTTTCATCATTATTTTTTTCATTCAAAATAGACTTGACAATTTCTTCTTCATTAGGTTCTTCGTTGGTCAAAAGAGCATCGTCAACCTCCACAAAACTTTGTATGTTTTCTTCAGAAAAGCACTCTGTGTCCAAATTATTTTCATTTACTATTTCTGTTTCGTCGTTTACCGAAGCCTTGAATCCAGCGTGGTGGAAACAGTTTCTTATTGTAGTGGTAGAATTTACCACCACTGCATGTTTCCCCTTTAAAACGTANATTAGGTCAAACGTGTTCCAGTCAGTTTTCCGAAACACCAACAAGAACGCTTGACGATTCTCCACTTATTTTTCCAAAAACGATATTGTGTCTTTGACGAAAACGGGTAATCTAAGAAGAAGAACATTGAAAATCGATTTTATTAAAACGCTTCCCAAATTCGGTCGCTTTTTCTTGAAGTATCGGTCCACTTGTTGGAATATTTTTAGATCGTTGTATTTTGAACCATTCCAAGAGAGCCTGTTCGACGTCTTGATGTTGGCTACATTTTAATCTTTTGTTAGATGTCATGTCTTTTTGAAAAAACACTTTTTATTTGGTCTTTTGATTTCCATATGGTAGATAGTGTTGATTGACTGATTCCCAGCTCTTGGCAAAGATCTTTATTAGAAACACCATTTTCTAAACGTTCAATTATTTTCACTTTTTCAGCAATAGTGAAACACCGTCTTCTTTTATTTGACATTTTTAACTTATTCGGATCGTGTCTAAACGGATAGCAATCAAAACGGCAACTAAACGACTAAGAAACGTAGGTATTCTGTATACAATACGGTCGTACAAGACACATTATCTGTTACAGACAAGATTAAGAATTATCGATTTGGACGAAATCAAATTTACTACACAATGTACAATGTACATGCATATTATTAATCGCTATGGGTGATTATAAAAACCAATTTTCGTTTTAAAATAACATCGCTATATCCGAATTATCGTTATAACCGAAATCGTTATATACGAATAAAAGTATTATACATAACACATAAAACCAACCAAATACATTGATTGGAATCGTTTTACCCGGAATATCGTTATATACGCCATCGTTATACGCGAATTTGACTGTATTTCTAAAACAACTAAATTGTCTATAAATTTGTTATATATGAACTTAAAGAAAAGTGAATTGTTTTTTTATTTTGACTAAATAAAAACTATATTACACAAATGATATTTTAAACTGTGTATAAACAACATTGTGAAGATTAACAATTGCCAAATTATTCTTCCTTGTAAAATTGTGCAGTATTATAACACCAACAAAATATTATAAATATAATGTATTGGTTACAATGTAATTTTATTTAAAAATGATTAGTTAACTTATTAGCTAACTGATGTTTATTATTTAGTCTGGTGTTTACAATCTGTTACAATATTCAAGGAAAAAGGATTAAAATAAAATAGCTATGAGGTTAAATAGAAATTAAAAATAATGTTGAGCATTATTAATGCAACAGGATAACATAAACTAAAAATGTATTAAATAATTAATTGAAAAATATAAAGGGGAAAAAAACGTCCTAAGATAATGGGAACAGATGCAGCTACTGTTATAGATAATTTAATGTATATCTGTTAGCAACGATTAACCATTAGCAACGAAAAAAACCAATTCTGAGCAAAGTAAAATAAAAGTAATGTATTGTCAACAATATATATGCGATATTATAGTAAAATAATCAAAAGAAGGTAGGACAATGCCGATATCACTATTTAAATTTTGTTTTCTACGAGAAATCCACCGAAATTCCAATGTAACATGATTTCTGAACGACAATTTTGTTAGGTTGGTGCATGAGAAAAACAGGTTTCTTAAATTTCCGCGTAATATTCTTAACAGTTCCTAAAAACCAGGAAAAACGAAAAAGTTTATAGGAAAAATGGTTTCGTGTTCTAATTCGGTTAACGGTAATCGTACAGATCTAAAATATTAAAAGATACCTTTTAGAAAAGATACTCATTTTCTAGACGAAGTTCTTATTATAAAAAATTCCGGTGTTTTTAATCTGTTACAATATCCTAGGACAAAGGATCATTTGAAAACGACTATGAGAATTAATTAATGAGAAATATTAAATATCTGGTTCTAAAAGCATTCAAGTTTGTTCCTATATTAATCACGAAAAGAGGCCTTACAAATTGAATCATTTGTAATATAAAACTCATAAAAATGTAATGTTTGGACGTTTGGTAAACAAATAAAGTCAAATACAAAGAAAATTCGAGAATACTCTAGTCTTCTCTAGGGGGACGGTAAATGCGTTTCACGAGTCATACCGAACGTTCTCGAAAATTCAGTCCAGTTCAGTTGACAGTGAGGCTTTGTCAACAATATATATTTATATATGATATTACGATAAAATAATTAAATAGGCATTATATATTATCTATAATAATATTTGTTTAATGTACCGATTTTCCAGTTTTTCCTATGTTTTTCAAATTTGTTGAGGAAAGGTACCTCCCTAGTGATATTTTCTTTCAAAGTGCTGGCATTGTAAATCGGAGCAAAATTGTAGGTAGAAAAGTTGTACACAGAAAAAAAAGTAAACATCTTTGTAAAACTTTGTTCGCTCCAATCGAAATGTAAAATTTCATGACTATTAATTTCGGAAGGGATAAATAATTTAAAAAATAGGTATCAACATTTTCAACTATCGACAGAGTTTCGGTCGACATTAACCGACAATACGTAAATGAAATATATAATTATTCAAAATATGAAATAATTTTAAAATTTTCCGATAGTATTTATATACTAGTATAGGCATTTATAAATTACACCCAACTAGGTACCTATTTGTTATAAAAACATGTATAAGAATTTTCCAAAATAAACAAGNCAAAGGAGCCATACACGACGTGGTGCTCGTGGGCGGTTCTACGAGGATCCCGAAAATCCAGAGTCTCCTCCAAAACTTCTTCTGCGGTAAGCCACTGAACCTGTCCATCAACCCGGACGAGGCGGTAGCGTACGGCGCTGCCGTACAAGCGGCCATTCTCGGCGGCGACACGAGTTCTGCTATCCAAGACGTGTTGCTCGTGGACGTGACCCCTCTGTCACTCGGCATCGAGACCGCGGGCGGCGTGATGACCAAGATCGTCGAGCGCAATTGCACCATACCGTGCAAACAAACCCAGACATTTACTACTTACGCGGACAACCAACCGGCCGTCACTATACAGGTATTCGAAGGAGAAAGAGCCATGACCAAGGACAACAACCTGTTGGGAACTTTCGACCTGACCGGCATACCTCCGGCGCCCAGAGGTGTACCGAAAATCGATGTAACTTTCGATCTGGACGCTAACGGTATTCTGAACGTGTCGGCCAAGGACAACAGTTCCGGTCGTTCCAAGAACATTGTCATCAAAAACGATAAGGGTCGTTTGTCTCAAGCCGAAATCGATCGTATGCTCAGCGAGGCCGAACGATACAAAGAGGAGGACGAACAACAAAAAGTCAAGATAGCGGCAAAGAACCAGTTGGAGAGCTACGTGTACGGCGTGAAACAAGCGTTGGACGAGGCCGGTGACAAGTTGACCGAATCCGAGAAAAACGCAGGTAAACAACAGTGCGAAGCGGTCATCCAGTGGTTGGACAACAATCAGTTGGCGGACAAAGAAGAGTTCGAGCACAAACTAAAGGAACTGCAGAAGAGCTGTTCGGAGCTAATGATGAAATTACACGGCGGACAAGCCGGAGGACCACAGGCCGGGTCGCCTGGAGGTTGCGGATTCCCCGGATCACAATCTCGAGGACCGACGGTTGAAGAAGTCGATTAATTATTATTTGATTGTATTAATGTGACTTTTGTTGTATCGTGTTATTTATTTTCTTGTAAAATATTCTCAAATGTTCCAACTATTAGACTGATTTTTTTTATGTTTTTCAAATATTTGTACCTATGTATATGTTATTTTAGTTTTTTAATATAATTCATTATGTACTTAGTATTTTATTTTCGCGAAAATAAATTGTACCTTAAAAGAACATTTATTGGCTTTTTATTTTTCTAGTGTTATGTGCTAATCTAATTTACCCTGCAAATAACCTCCAGCAGGTATTATTCTTCGATTGTCGATTATTGAACTTTTTCTGAAGGGAAATATGACGGGTTGTACTTTTTGATGACTGCGTTGTGTTTTGATTTCCCAGCTATTTGCACAACAAATGGGAAAGCACACGTGAACATTTTGTAGTTTATTGTAGTTTGTAAATGATAAATTTCACATTAAGCTTTACATACTACTGGTTCAAATGGGATGATTAGGGCGTTGCGATTTTAAAAACTCAAGACGTACCATTCAATCGAAAACACCCGAGCCCTGGGGACGAGTCAATAAATGATAAATTTCACATTAAGCTTTACATACTACTGGTTCAAATGGGATGATTAGGACGTTGCGATTTTAAAAACTCAAGACTCATTCAATCGAAAACACCCGAGCCCTGGTGACGAGTTAATAAATGATGGTAAGTAGGAGGGCGGTTGGTTGTTTGGGCTAACCCTTCACAGGTTTTCCGTAAGGATATATTTTGTTATCCTCCTTTCTCCCGTAAAATATTCTCAATGACCCCTCTGATGGGTTTTCAAGTTTAATCATTAAATGCAAAAACCGAAAAAAACGGTGAAATGTACTAATTATGTTTGTATAATATTACGATTTTTATTTTCTGTGGACAAGATTTGTACCATCGATTTTTCTCTGACTTATAACAATAGCAAGTTTTTCGAAGAGGAAACTTTACTTGGGAGTTACGCAAGAGGTCGATTTTTTCGGTTTCGGAAAAACTGAAAAAAAAAGTGTAGGAAATCCGGACATTAAATAATTATTATTAAATAAAATATATAGAACCCACTTAACTTAAATATGACAAAGCATCACTAGAAACTACTCTGCACAGAACCATTTTTTCGTAAGTAAATGGTTTATCGTTGCTTACAGGTATACAGGTATACTTACTTTAAATTACCTAAAACAGTGGCTGCGCCAGTTTCCATTATCCTTGGACGTATTTTTTAATTTTAAAATTGTATTATTCGTATAATATACGTCGTATATCATTTGTAAGAATCGTTAGGGTTCGAAACTTAATCCCATCAATTATCAGTTTTTTCATTTGTTTCATTTATTGAGAACTCCATTTGTAACGAAAAATTTACTCTACGGTAATGTTATAGTACACAATTTTTTAAAATTTAAGGTATTCATTTTGAGCGAATGTAAAAAAATTAATGTATACCTACTTTTATGTCATCATGACCATGAATATCTCTTTCAACAGCCAAGTCCCAAATTGCTATTTGATCATCATCGCTACCAAAAGCAAACACACAACTATCGTCTGGACTATACTCAAGTACTCAACTGCCGTATGGTATAGCACTGGTTCAATGATTTCAACGATTTTCAATCGAATTCGACCTTTAAATTCGTAGGTATATAAAGTAAACTAGGTAATATACATTTAATTAAATTCTTTTTTGAACAGCTAAGTACAACTCGTTGTGAATCTCGTGAAAAGTATTTCTTATCAGCTAGACCAGTTTTATAAAACTTAAAAAAAAAAAATACTGACATACTTCGCACTCACGCCACTGTTGTCAGGCGCGTATTCTGCTCATCTTCCAAGGGGGGGGGGCGAAATTCAAANGGCAATTAAAAATTTTCGTTTGGCTTGCTTAAAACTTGGAAAATAGATTTCTACTATTAGAAATTGAAAATAATAAAACCTCGGGAAAAAAAGGCCTAAACCATAAACCGCATAAGGAAAAAAATAGTTATTGCTATCCCAAGAAAATGTTTTTATAAGTATTAAAAAGAAAGCCCGTAAAAAAGCCTCTTAGTAAATTAATATCGTACGTTTAAAAAAATTTTAAAAATAATTAAGTAGTTATTCAAAATCATGTTTTACGTGTATTATACGTATAAAGATCTCAATCAATTATATTTATAATTGGACAAGACGTTGGAAAATCAAGATCAACAGTGACAAGTCAGTACACGTAAATTATAATTTATACGTAAAACTGTAAATATCCCTGTATTGTTGGACCACACAATAATTCCACAAAAAGATTCAGCTAATTACCTGGGTATGCATCTCGTACTTTTTTTTTTAACATTTCTATCAGGAATTTTACTTAAATCTAAAACTTTATACTAACTTCTAACACATCTTTGGTACATATTCAGGGAACTGGGGAGTTTAGTTTTTGTTTTATTTTCCTTGTAGTTTTCTTAAAAAAAAAATGCCAATCTTTTGTATAATTTTTGTTAAATTATGAGTTCCCAACAAGCGAGAAATATGACTAACAATAGTTTTTAAAACTAATATTAAGACTGACGATATGTGAACAATTCTTAATAATATTGTTCTCGTCCTGCTTAACCGCATTTTTTGACAGTAACGATCCTAAAAAGGACGTCCGACGTTATCATTCGTGAAGCCGAAAAATAAAAATAATCAAATTACGAGTTCATGAGACAAAATTATAAAAAATGACAAAGTCCTTCCCCGGAATCATAGATATATTATGTTCAGATCGGCACACTATCACTGTGACAGAATCAGATTCGTTTTCATTTAATAATTATTGTGCGGCCGGTTTTCCTACACGTTTGGCAGGCATACCTAAATAATATATAGTATATATGGTATTTATGTTTAATAATTACGAAAATTCAAAACATGTTTGACCGAAATTCTCTCAGAATTGTATTTCGTCAGCAAACGATTTATCATTTAATATAAATTAAATGACTTTACGTATCCTGCCTTCCCAACTTTTCGCTTAGTATAAAACCCCGGCACACCATCATCAGTATCAGCTTTTTTTTTTTCTTTGACTTTTACAATTTTGAAATTATCACAGTTATCAACTTAATTATCTACTTCTACTACCATCCAAAGTTACCGGTGTTAAATTTCGATCAAATTGTTATTTGCATTATGAAACGTTGGTTTAAGTGTCCGTGGACAATGTCTTTTTTTTATTTTGTTCTAAGGAAAAGTAACATGTATTTAACTTACAATGTATATAGGTATATAATATATAATATTAAAATTATAATATTATTTATTTGTTTACAATCAATGTTGCGGTGTGTTATTCTATACATATGCATATTCTAACTTTTTGTAAAAAACTAAAACATTTTGTTATTAACCGTTATAATATTTATCAATAATATTACATATTATAAATTAATTTTAGTACAAATTTTTTTTTTTTTTTCAATTTTTTCTTATAGCAAAAAATTATAATATATTACATTGTTAAATTAGAACTGTAAAATATCAAAAACATTAAAGTTGTTATATTATATTTAATGTATTAATATATCCTAATATTTAGAAAAATATGTTCATTAATCACAATATGCATTTCCAATATTTTATTTTTTATTTTATAGGTACATTCCATTAATTAAAAAGTCCGCATCATGAGCATATGACTGTTTTCCTCCTTTTCGATAACGATTGCGCATCACTTTTAGTCGACATCCGATAACAATTATCATTATACTCGTTGCCATAATACCTGATAAGATAAAAATATAAAATAAGTCTTTATTCGTGGGATTATTAAATTATTATATTATCAATGAGTAATTTGTTTTTTGATTTTCCAAGTTTTCTTTTAGTAATTGAATAAAACCGGAAACGAACGGGAAAGTTTACGGAAATAAATGTTTTGTTGTTTTAAATTTTGTTATATTCAATTAATTAATTAATTTTATTCATAGAGACTTCAAGTTTTGTATTTGTCTTTTCTAAATGTGATCAAATTTTCAAAATATTTTGCAATTTCTGTGTTATTCATAGACATTTTATTATTTTTTTTTTAAAAAAAATTGAATTGATTGAAATGAAAAAATCGATTGTTTTTTTATGTAATTTTTATTTGGTAGATATCTACTAAATGTCTAAATGGATATCATTGATTTTTCTGTTAGGTGGGGTTTTTTTTTGGATTATTTGAAAGACATTTTTTCGACCACATCTTTTATATGAACATATGTATTTAAATTACTTGCCTAAAACTAAAGAGATTATTGCTCCGTTTGGCATTATAGCATATCCATCATCATTACTTTCAAAGTATGCTTCACGAACTACCGTGTCCGCACTCAGTGGCTGTTCCATTTTTCGATAAGAGCTTGAATCTAAAAACACATAATTATAAAAATTTTAATTTAATTACGAATTGCACATATTGCACATGCAAGTATTTAAAATAAAAATAATGCTCCTTTCAACCTGTAGTTGTAGATTGAGTAGTAGTTACATTTACATAATGCTTTTGAACTACTGGTTTTTCAGTTATAATCGTTTCAGATTTTTCATTTTGAACGGGCCTTTGACCGTTACCCTGAAACAATTAAACTTGTATTCTTGCTTCTAGTTGATTGATATATTTTTATACATACGAGTAGAGGAATAATATTTGATTGTTCAAGTTTAGGTCTTGGATCTTCGTAGTAATAGTCTGGATTATTCTGGTTCTGATAAATAGTTTTACTACCTATATATTGGGAACATTATAATTTATAATGTCAAATGTAAATTTTTTATGGTGTATATAGGTAATTTGCCTGTATTAAAATGATGGAAATCATGATTCACGTTGTTTGTATTATGATTGTAATTGTGATCAACCATTCCAGGTTCTGCAATATATCCTCTATTTGGAATACTGAAAATAGATTTAAACAAGATAAGATTTTTAATTTTTTTTGAAAATTACCATGTAAAAAACTACTAATAAATAATATTATTGATTAATATCCATGTTAATGTGAATAAAAACAAAATATTGGTTAAGAAGATTGGAAGCGATGATTTTCTGTCTTTGTCTTACACACGTGCAAAATAGAAATGTAGACGTATTATATTTTCAATGTACCGATTAATCTAGAGAAGCAAAAATAAAAGCGATAGCAATTCTTAAAGCAGATTTGAATTTGTCGTCAAATCTATTTGAGATCGAATTTTCCATTCTTTGATTTTTGCTTTTATTTCTCCAAAAATTAAAATTATCCAATTTTTAAATTACTTCTTTTCTATTATGTCTTTTTAGGTTGTAGGAGAACAAAACCAAACATCTGGAAAAGTCTATTTTGAATTTTATGGAACATGTTTAAATTTCTACGTTGCGCGTGTGTAAGAAAAGACAGAAAATCATCGCTTTCTATCCTCTTTAATACAAGTCATTAAATGCTATCCATCTGCAGTTATAAACTATAAAATTATATATTATATATTTATTTCATTTATTTATTTATAATCGCCAGTCGACAATTGTATGATTACATTTAGAGTTTGGTTTACAAATAACAGTTATTTATAACTAATATATATATATATTCGAATTATAAATGTTTATTTGAAAATGTACAATATTTAAAAAAAAATTAATATGTATTTAAATATTTATTTTGTGTAGGTAAAAATTGATCAGTTATTTATTTTTATCTTACTTATTTTGTCGCTGATTGTATTCCGGCAAAATTCCTCCATTGACATGAGTGAATATCCGATTACTTCCTACAAAGTTAACTCAAATTAAAATTTGTTTTTAATATCATACTTATTTTATATATCAGACCATAGTTTTGGTGTGTCGCATCTTGACCAGCCCATTTGAGACCTTCGCCTTCTCTACCATATTGAGCGGGCGCAAAATTATTACCTACAGCCGTATTGTCTCCTTTTACGTTGTTATAATTTAGATTATTAGAACCTTAAAAATACATAATTGTATTAATACTGGAGTATTTATACTTATTAATTATTACCAGTGCTCGGAGGTATTAGCATTTGTGTATTATTTTTGGTGACACTTATAGAATTTTGAGTAAGAAACAAATTTCTTTCATACTACATTGATGTAATATGCGAAAATGGTCGGTGCTTATTGTTTACTTACTTAGGACTTATAGAGACATTTTGATAATTTTGAGTTTTGAGTGCTATTTATATGCATATATCAATTCTGTATGGTTAATTTTAGCATATTTAGCAGGGTTGGAACGTATAATACAGTAACGTATAAAACACGTACTATATGTACTTACAATTTAAAATTACTTGGTTTTATATGTTGTATACTGTTTAAACGTTTTTATATTCTCGTATTATGATGAACTGAGCAGCAGCTATCTAGTATAATTTGTTATATTAATTTTTTAGTGATATTACTTCCGAGCCCTGGTTATTACAATATAGGTAAGTACCATATTTTTCATAGAACAGATGACTTACTAAACACTTGTGGTTGGTTCTTCCATTGATATTGTTGCATTGGTTGATTTATTTGTTGTCCGGTAATATCCATTGGCTTATTTGAATATGTTTGTACGTTATAATTATTCTCTTTAAATCCATAATTTGGTTCTTTCATTAGTATTTGTTTATCTGTCCATAAAAAAAAAAAAATAATAATAATAATGATATATTTTACGGTAGCATAAATCATAATTCTATAATAATATACTTCAATCGATTATAATTAATTTTACTTGAAGTAGTTGGACAAGCCAATTCAAGAGCTTCGTCGCTACCGTCACTGCATTGAGGTATTCCATCACAAGCATTATAAATCGCTATACACTCGCCAGACGTTTTACATTCAAATTGGTATCTACTACATCGGGTTCCTTTCAAATTTCAAAACATTATTTAAATGATTAACAAATGATGAACAGTATTTGTTTTACTTTATAAAATTATCATAAAATAGTAAAACATAAAGATTCAATTTTACTTTCAGAGTGTTTATCCAATGCCGGAACGGTTATTTCTGTTTCTTTATTTATCGATGGAATTGACGAAATGGTTGACGAAGGAGATTTTGAAGAGGTAAACTTCCTACATAATTAAATTAAAACTATTTAGATTTACAAAGAGAAATATACCTATATATTTTTTTTCTTACTTAAGCTGAGTAAGTTCGTGTTCGTGTTCGTTTTGAGTGAGTTTTATTTGGTTTTCTAATTCCGTTGCTGGCTTTGACGTCATTACTGCACTGCTATAGTTCTTATGGCTAGTGAATTTGCATTTAAAGTCATCCGACGCTCCACATTCAAACAGATAGCATGTTCCCGGCAGCTTTAACATTATTGATACATATTTTTGTATATAAATTTAATGGGTAAAAAGACTAACTAGTGACTACTTCACACATTACACGATGGGTGGGCACTGTTGTAGGTGAAAAGTTGTAAGAGTAGGATTTAGAGTAGAATTTAAATTATAACTGTATGCAATAATGAATCATTGCTAGCTAAAAATGATTCGGAGCGAAGTTTCTTTTATATATACACGTACATTTTCCCATTTTTCTCAATTAATTAAAACCACATAAAAAATCAAAAAATGACTTTCCTAAAGTACCATCCAAATATAATTTTTTTTCAAAAAAGGTTCTACATTTGAAAATCGGAGCAAGACTTCTGATAAAAAAGTTGTTCATAGATAAAAAAAAAATTAAAATAATTTTAGAACCAATATATTCCTCGATACGCATTGAACCTAAGATTAACTTTAATAAAAATAGAAATTGTGCGTAGTGTAGAAATAAATCAATAATGTGTAATTATTAAACTAACGCGTAATTTAATTTCACAACTCCATATTAAACAATATTATTATTGTTGTTCCCATAGAGCATAATATATATACGTCGTATACTTTCAACATTGTTTTGAAAAAAATCATGGGTTTACTGCGAATCAGTGGCATACTAACGGGGGTAGGGGGAAGGGGGATCGGATTCCACCCCCTCCCAGAGCAAAAAAAAAATGTTGACTAAATATTATATTATAAGTATTTATTGTTTAATATTATTACAAAGTTACTCTGTCAAGTCACTTCGAACATGAAGTAGGTATTGAAGTAAATAAATATAATAAATAATAATTTAATAATTATATTTTAATTATTAAGTGTTTAGTGTTTTGTAAATTAGCTATTAAATGCTCGAATGTGTACACATTTAAATCGTAAGAATATGTATTTACAATCATTTTATAAACCTAGCTATTTTAATATAAACTGTTCAACGAGATGTCAAAATAACAACTATTTATAACATTATTAATGTTTGGGTGTACACTGTACACAGATAATATACAGTATCTATATTTTATCTACGAAAAAAAAAAAAATTAAAAATTAATACGGCCTGACTATGATTTCAATAAACAAAAATTATTCAATTATCCCGAAGTTCTGGTTGAATTATCAAATAATAAAAGATGGTTGGATTTTTTATTATAAATGTTTGACTAAATAATATATTCATAATCTAATAATAACAATTACTAATTTTTTAGTAATTATATAACCTATGTATCTTGAATAGGTACTTAAATTTATTATAATTCATTATTGAATCCGAACCAACTTTTTCTTAAAGTAATTAGGTGCCTATAGTATTTAAGTGTCTGGCACTCATTAACGAAACTTTTTTTCAAAGTTTCTACCTACATACGATACATTTTTAAATACCTATAGTGCATTAAATTAGAGCTCATTTATGGGATAATAATAACAAAATCGTGTTCTGCTGACTTTGGCGACGTATAAATATTTGCCTGAATCGAACACGGAAACGACGGCCATATATTTTAGTGATTATATTTTATTCATTCCAATTATTTACTTTTTCTTCGAACACGAACACGTCACACCTGGCCGTCTGACAGCACAGTTCCAGGCATTCGAGACGGTTGCGTTGTTCCATCGAATCGATGAACTTGGCGCCCAACTTTTTTGAGTCTTCCGTCCGTATTATCTTATCATCGTGCACGTCGAACTTGTTCACGCAGTTGGACGGGGATGCGATCGTGCTGCAGTAGCTTATCGTTGCGAACACGGTCAGAAAACACCAAGACCACCTGACGCCGTCGGTGGCCATTTGGAGGTGCTTGTATTTCGTGTCGGGCCTACGCCAAAAAGAACACTAAGAGGCACTCGAGTAGTGGAGTCAATAAAGAAAACTGTTCGCTGTTTAATGTTTTAACTGCTACTGCTGCTGCTCTAAGTTCCTCACTGCTCTTGGGCGTACCACAGAGTGTCTCAAATCAATAAACCATTTTACCATGTCCATCAGTTTATGTAGTACGATACCGCCATCTCGCGGTCCCGTACTTCAACTCTAACTGCAATATTCCCCTACGGCATTCTAGTGCTTCCACCCACTAGAATTTTCGTATTTATTTTTCTTATGCCCATCATTTACCGGCAGTGGTTAAAATAGAAAAAAAGGGATATTTTTTCTTTTGTCTTTCTTTTTATCGAAGGTATAATTACCAGTTTATTTCAGTTTAAGTCTTCGAAGGTCCGGGGGAGGGGGAGGCGCTGTAGTTATTGTCACTGGAAAATTTGTGGTGCAATTTTAAAAATTCGAATTCATTTTCTTAAAAATAAATTCTTTTACATCTATATAAGATTATACGGAATCAGATTCTGTTATACTTTATGTTTACTGAGCAGACATGTTCGAAGGATAACATATTTGGGGGGGCGTANGGGGGGGGGGGGGGTTAGGAAGGATGCATTTTATTTGTATACGTTTTTATGAAAAAAGCGCGCAAAACATTTTGGAAGTCTTGTTTCCCATGATGGGTTTCCTGCAAGTTTGCGGTTAGATTTTAAGGTTTAGTTAGTTTTCGAAAACGCACCTATACATTTTCGTTAGATGTAGTCCCGCTTCGAAACTTTCTACTTTAACCACTGTTTGCCGGAGTAACTGCAGAGTTGACTAGAGAGAGCTTAGCCTCTATAAACTTATTTTTAGCCCTTCACAAGAACGCTTGTTTTAAACATATGTTATAAAATACATATAATACAAATTCGTTGAAGCTATTTCACCGTCATACCGTTTCACCATAGGACTCATTTATACCAGATATGGATATGTACACAAAAAGGATATTTTAAGATTTCGGTGAAACCGTGAAACTTATATCAGTCTATACAGACTACAGAGTACTATGAACTGAGCGGTTTTTTTTGTGCAAAATAAAGGCCTTCTCTGTTGGAAAGGAATGATACTTATACTTATTACTAAAATATTTAGTTAACATACCGTCAAGGACGTAAAAAAAAATATAAATCCGGGGGGGGGGGTTGAAGTTCAAAATTAAACCCATTAATAATGTAAAAAACAAAATTTTATTTAAATTACCGTAACTTTGGTCATACCCTTCCTCTCTGCGGGTGCCCTTGTATACTATATACGACGATTAACCATTGAAAACGAAAAACAATCCTGCGATGAATGAAGTTTGATTAAGCTTTCAATTGAAATTATTATTGATTTGTAGCTAAAAAATGAATGGTTTTCGTCCTAATATTTGACTTTTTTAGCGGATATTATTGTCATTTGACTGCAGAAATCAAAAGTCATGGCTAGATCCTAATAAAACCAGTAACGTAGCCAGGGTAGGCATCGAAGCTATGATGCCTGCCCTATTCGCCATATTTTTATTAAAATCGTTTCATGTTTATGTTACTTTATGGTGTGCGTTGTTCATTTTCATATTTTATTGATTAAGTATAGTTAGTATATTTTTAAACATATACACCAACAAATGTTAATTACCTGAATATTATGATTTTTTATCCAAACATTATTCTGCAATCAAACTAAATGAATATGTACTAAATATTGATGTATAAATAGTATAATAATAAGCGTAGATTTGGTTTATAATGGTGGAGTTCCAATTTATATTTTTGGTAGTACACTGTAACATCCAATTTTAGATTTTGCTTATGGATTATATTGTTTATAGGGAAATAGTTACCAATTATATAAAAATAAATGTCTATTTTTAAAATAAAATACTTTGTATCGTAAAAAAATATGAAATTCTCAGTTATAATAATTACTGAAATAAATACAATTTTTACTATTTTTCGGTTTTAGTGACATAATAAGAAGTTAGAAAGTGGTCATGACTTATGATTGGTTATTTTTTATAGGAAAATCACTAGGTACACGTATACATAATTTTTTACTGGGATGTAATTTTAAATTTATTATTGGTAAAAATTTTAAACTTTACCTATTCATTAATATTATGAAGTAAGTAACGAACATTTATCTAAGCGCTTAGAAAAAAAATGTTCTTAATAAAGTATGTAGATAATATGTAAGTATTTATAAATATAATGTGGGTCCAGGCCCGACTAGAGAATGAGGGCTACTGGAGCTGGAGCCTTAGGGCCACTGCTCGACCAATGCAACCGGGTTCTACATTTTACCTAATTTTTTACATTTACTTAAAAATTATTGTAGTTTAATTTCATAATATTTTACTTTCAAAAATCAATAACTATACATTATATTAAAATTGTTATGTTAAAAATATATAATGTTTACTATTTGTACCATATATTATAATATGTGTTGGTAACAATATGATTTTTGCTTTTGAATATCTTATACCTCAACCTTAAACTTTATTTTAGGTTATACACATTTTTAGGACGATGCTTGTTGTTAATTAAAAGTTTAATAATTAATATTAGGGGGAATTGGTTTATCCTTGGTGCCCTTTTTTTTCACGGCCCTGTATGCGTTTAAGACACTTAGACACTTCGCCGAAATAATGTTCAATACAGATTATGTACTTTTAGGTATGTTGTATGTATTTCTATAGGCGGATAACTATATTTATCTAGGAAGAACCACATGACTTATTATTATCTACATTCAGGCTCAGATTAATATAATATAGGCTAGTGAGACACGTACGTAAGGCTAGGCAATGGTAGAGGCTATTTTATTTATTAATTTCTAATAATACCTATTACCTACGCTACAGTCTATACCTACTATTGACCATGTAGTGTAGAAACTTTGCTCTATAACAAGGTTTCTAAACCTTTCGGGATCCAGGCACCCTTTTAAACTGTTACATTAGATTATGCCCCCCTCACCATTATACAAATGGAATACATATGTATAAATGTGTATATGTTCCGTGGGGTTTTTGAAAATGTTCACGCCTCCCTAGAGGCGTACCCCTTTGGTTTATAGCACTCCAAAAATAAAATTGTCTTAAGACATTAAAACGTTTTAAATAATATTCATTTTTATCAAAAATGTACAAAATACTGTTTAAGTTTTAGGTGTTCAATAACTTAGCGACAATAATATGATTTTAAAATAACACATGTGTGTCTATAGGATCTACTTGTCTTATTCTAAACTATAAAGCCCCAAGTCTGTTCTGTTAGCCTTTGCTTTAGTTATGACAGTAAATATTTGAATGAAAACGCAAGCGCGTGAGATATTAATTGATAATCAAACGTTAATTGGTTTACCGACAAAAAAAAAATTGATTTAAATACAAATTACCTATGCAAACATACTTTACGTATTAAGTAGGTATTTGACATTTTATTGTAGTGTACCTAGTACACTCGTGCGCATAAAACGAACGTTGTGCTATGCAGTTTTTAATTACTTTAAATCACTCTTAGACAAAGAATTTTGCATGGAAATTTGTTCTACAATCACTAAAATTCATAAAAAAAACAAATTTACGAGATGGTTATAAAAAGAAAAATCGCATTTTCATTTGATATCAAAAGTTGTTTTCGTGAAGTCATTTTAAATTGTTAAGCCCCACAAATAATTTTCGTGTAATCATTAACGGCACAAGAAAAATATTTTTATTATATAATTAATTGTTTCAACGGTGAGATAAGTTTTTATTTATTTATTTTTTGTTTTATACTGAGCACCGGCAGAGCTGTGAGGGTCAGCTATTGGATAATAATATTGTTGTTATAATTACTATAAGTACCTACCTAATGACTAGGGAAAATAGTGTAGTAATACAAATATTATTAAGTGTCAAAACTCAATGTGATAGATTATTGTAATCACGGTTCATAAATCGTAGATGGTCTGTGATCGAACCTTGAGTTGTAGGTAGTGTTTATTAAAGATTTAGATAGGTACTTATTAAACAAATGTCGGGTAAGAGGGGTTCAATATTGATTAAATGTACATACTAGACATACTCATCATTTTTTTTCATTCAAATTACTGATTTCACCCAACATAAATATAATATATTGTTGTTAGCACAATAGTGAATAATCGACTGCTAAACTTTGTCTACTTTTAAAAGCATTTCGTTGATCTGGACCCCGGCAACCTTGAGTTAGATACCCACTCTCTTGGATAGTATAATATAATCTCAATCACGAAATAGTAAGACGCGAGATTTTATAGATCAATCTATAGATCTTTGAAGTAATAATTGGTATTGTTGGTTTATAATCGAATAAGTAAATATTAATTTATAGATCCGCATATAGTCTATCTTATATATATATTTCGGTGGGACAGCCAGGATTACACAGTCGGATCCGGGGTAGTGGTAAATGGTGATGGGTGAATCGCGTCCTCCCCTTGGTTGCAAAAATACCTATTAACACGAATTAATTACTGCTTATTATTTTGTCATAATTTATTGTTAGCCAACATTAATGTTCAAAAGAATATTTATTTTCAACTTAGTGTTTGTCAAGAACCGACCCCGCACTCAGCAACATAAATTAAGAGTTATAGGACTGAATGGTTAATAGACCAAAATATGCACGTCAATGTAGGTATTCTCATTGTTTAATTTCTACAAATTATAAATGAATCGTGGACTAAGAACTAAGATTGAAGTTGTAGAAGCATAGATAATCAGAAATTCATAAATAATCACAGAGCACAGATATAGATAATAAACTATATCACAAATTAAATATGCACATTTAATCTATGCCTATATTATCTATATTTGTGTTCTATCAATAAGCATATCAGAAACGAAAATTCTTATTTTAATTTTTACCTGTGATCCACATATATATATATCAATTGAACGTATGTATTATATATCTGTGGGTATAATCCTTTTATAATATTATTATATTTTATTAATTTATTATAATAATATATCTATACCGTGATCATAATACTTCCTTCAGCTGATAATGGCTATTGGCAACATTGTTAAGTACGTTGCTCTCATTTGACAACCTGCAGCCTGTCTAACTAAGGTATACTCTGTGTGTTATGACTGAGGTCGAGGTTTTTTTTATTTTTTTTTTTTTATTATTATTCTTGTTATTTTAGTAGTTAATACAATACAATACTACTGTTATGTAAATTATTATTATCTGTGTCCGAGTGTCTCTCAATGTGGAAAAAGATCAATCGGGACAGCAATCTAATCCCGACGGAATTGTGAATGCGTTATTCGAATTGATTCAGTGTTTTTCATTTATTTGGTGTTGTGTAATAAAGAAATAAATTACTAAATAAAAGTAAAAAGTGACACGTTCGTCAGTTCAATAAGTATGTATTTTCTTGGAAATCTGGAATGGCTGAGATGTTTTTTTTCTCTTATAATTACAGTTTAAAAATATTATCGTATAAAAAAAACATACCTATTCTGTTAAGAGTGTGTACGTATAGAATGTTAAGTCATCCGTTCCGTCGAGCTGATCGCAAATCGTTTCCGCCGGGTTACCGTAAAATGATTGAGTGACGTGATGTACCGATGTACATCATGCCTCCGACCGGCGCGTACTAACGGGTGCCGTTCGTCGAAATGAAGTCGGTCGTTGTTCGGTCGCCGCGACACTCTTAGTGGTTTACGCTCGCGATTGCGTTCGGGTAGCTGTTATAATTCCATCTCATGTGCACAGAGTTCAACCCTTTCAAAGATTACCTATCTTGATCATGCCATACGTTTCTTGTTCAACTATTAGACAACACACCTGCTTCACCCGCATTCATGTTTTTAGTAATATTTTTTAGGTAGTAACTAGTAGGTTAGTTCACCAATATGTAACAGACTGTTTTGCCGAGCCGCGTTCAGCTTACTATTCGTTTGCTACTCTTTGTTATTCCTTGTAAAAATTATGTTTAAACGTATTTCTGTTAATTTCCCTACTTATCTTATCGTGTGCTTATGTTCTATTAGATTACCTATATATTTTCGTTATTTTAAACAACTATATCAATTAACTTTTCATTTTGAGCTATTCAAATAAAAAGTTTTATTATTTGTACCTAGAAATAAAACAAAAAAATGTATTCAATAGGTACCCACCTGTTCATTCAAAACTTTTCAATTTTCCTTAATTTTGATTGAATTATCTAAATAGCTATTTATAATAAATAGTTTAAAATTGTAACTAGGTATTATACAAGAAATTTATTAAATATCATTAAATACCTTGGTACCTATATAACCAACTAAGTAATAATCTTTTTCCTATTATGTTAATATCCACTATTATCCTTCCGTTCGGTGTTTTCATTAATGAGTCGCAACTCATCATCTGGACATAATGAATCCAATCCAAGTAATTCTGACAGCTCGACTAATGGTATGAAGTACGTCAAAAATTGATCAATTACATATAATTTTTTTTATTATTTTATGGCCATGTTCTAACATAATAATTATTATTATGTATTAATAACATTTGATTATAATTGTAAATATAATATAAATATTATAAACACAGAATTATGAATTGTTTTGTAGTATTGAACATGTCTAGAAATGAAAGAAATAGAGCTGATAAAAGAACTTCATCAAGTCGTGCTAGATCTAAAGGTACTTATTTTTTATTATTATTATTAGTCAATCTATAATTAAAATACTCTATAATTGTTTCCATTTTTACATGAAAATAGATTCTCCAAGAAGAGAGTTAGAAAATGTAGTTAAGAGAGCTCGAAAAGACAGAGATCAAAGTCAATATTGGATTAATAAAGTTTTAGAAGCTGAAGAAAAAGATCCAAACAGGTATATTAAATTAAAATTGGAAAAAAACTGATGATTGTATGAAATAACTGCCAAACTGTTGAGTATAGTTTTTTTTTCTTTATAAAAGTTCAGGTAAATATTGATGCTTTTAGATTCAAAGCATAGTGAGGGAGCTATTGGGTTTTCTATGATGTTTATTTTTTTATTCTAATATATAGATACAATTTTTCCTAATAAACTTGCTCAAATTTTTACGTTTAGAAACCTTTCTGAAAGCTCAAGTTGTCTGGATGGTATTTTAAAAAGAAGTCATTTTTTGATTTTAGTTGCTATTTTTTAAATAAAATAACTTAAGTGGGAAAAAATGTAGGAAAGCATACAATTTCACAATTTTGTTATTCTATAAAACATGGACGTTTTCTACCAGAAAAAATGATTTAATCGCAAAATCACAAGACACCTTTTTTGTTGTCTTTTTGATTCACTTTTTAACGGTATCATAGCTAAAACTTTAAAGCTTTTAAAGAATTTTAATTTTTGGGAGATTTTTTAATGTAATTCAGTTATAAATACTTGTAGAGACTTGAAACTTAGTAATATCATTTATATTGGACTTACCTAGACTTGAAAAAATGTCTAAAATCATCAGACGGTCTTTTTTTTAATAAGTGTTTTTAAATTAAATTAAAACAAAAATTGTAAAAAAAAAAATCATGACACTTCAAATTATGTACTGCCGAACTGTGCTCGGAATTGTCTTTCATCAAGCAATGGTTTATCATTGCTTACAGATATAAATGAAATAACCTTATGTAGGATACCTTCCCAATTTCTCACCTACAACAGTGGCCGCTCCCATCTCCAGTATCATTCTTTTTTTTTTTATTAAATTTCCTAGCATATTTATTAGCATTTTTATTTCAATTACTAGTTGTTTAAATTTGTAGTTGTTTCAATGTTATAATTTCCAAATAGAAATTATAATATTACCTTAAAATTTTTTTTTAATATATTCAGCAAAATATTATCAGCTTATTAAAATGTCCCGATAAAGAAAAAAAACTGCTATACAAATAAGTTTTACATAAATATAATTTCCAATTATCAGGTTTTTATGTCCTAAAAGTTACAAAACAAAATACGCTATGAAAAGTATTTCAAAATGTATAAACATAATTGATTTTTAATACTAATAAAATTTAAAAAGATGGATTGAAACATCTAATAAAAAATGGTTTAATAACTTTGTATAAGTTACGATTTTAATAAAAAAATGGATATACTTTGAATGATGGATGAGCTACTGTTGTAGGTGAGAAGTTGAGAAGGTAGAGAGAAAATTTAATGTATATTATCTGTACACAATGATTAATTATTGCTAATGAAAAACGATTCTGAACGAAATTTGATTATATATATTTTGAAAGGCCATAATATTTACAATTGAAAATTATACATACATTTTCCTGTTTTTTTTTTTCCATTTATTATAAAAACTGGAAAAATCAAAAAATGACTTTCCTAAAGTACAATCCTAGACAAATTTCTTTTCTGAAAACGTGCTGTAATCTATGCAAAATTTCTGGTAGAAAAGTTTTCAGAAAAAAAAAATTAACATTGTTAAACTCCCTTTCTTTTTCTCTATTAAATTATGTTGTAATAAATATATAAATGTATTAAAATGTGTAATTAAAAATATTTGTCATAGATGGAAACATTCTGGATTTAAAGAATTGTATACTGATAGAAGATCTCGGTCTATCAGCAGGCGTTCATCGAGTAGCTTTTCTTCTAGTTGCTCACGTTCATCTGTGCATAGATCTTCATCTCGTAATAAACGACGTAAACCACTGTCTAAGTCTCCTGATTTAAGAAGATCACGTCGATCCTTATCACCAAGACGAGTTTCTCCGTTGAGTCGACGACGATCACCATATCGCACAAGGAAATCTCCTTTACCCTTACATTCTAGAAGAAGACGTAGATCTTCTTCAGAGTCACCAACTGCAAATGGTTCTCGTGTTAGACGATCAAGATCATTAAGTAGAAGACGACGATCACCCATACTAGGGCGTAATCGTAGAATAGCTTCACCAATCCCAAAAACTAGAGGACTAAGAAAACATGGTCGTAAGCGTATTCGAAACTCATCGGCAGAGGAGGTATCTTTTATTTTATTTAGGATTATCATCTTTGGTTTTAAAAACCATTGAGTGCTATTTTTGTTGTTCCATCTATAAATATCTCGAGTTAATGTTTTTTCATCCTGTATTCCAATTTCCATTAAATTCTTCGTGACTATCAATCCTCCTTTGTTTTAGTCCAGCCAGTGGTATTTTACTGTTGGATTTCCATTTTAGAACCCGTTTCATTATTCCATCAAATTTCCATACGTGACCAGCCCATGTAATATCTCTTCATTTCAATACTGCTTATATCTTTGAATAACTGCTGCAGTTCTGTATTTCTCCTTATTTTATATTACTGAGTTTTTCCTTTTTTTAAAAATTTTCCTTTCAAGAATTATTATTTTTTTGATTATTGGTTATAATTTGAATATTTTTTAGGTACGTTCATCAAGTGTAAGTACATGTTCTGACTCACATTGTTCGGTATGTGAAGCCAGAATACCTATTAGTAGACGTGAACCACCACCAGAGCCTTTAGCCAGGCCCAAATCTCCAAAATTATCAAGACCCATTATTCCCATTCATGAACGTTCTAGGTAATTTATTTATTTTTATTTATTGTACATTTTTTGTCTTGTTAATATTTTAATTTTATATTATTAGGTCAAGATCATTTTCAGTACCGAGGTATACACCAGTTGTAGAAGTGAGTTCTACTACAGGATTACCTAAAATTGATCCACCTCCTGAACCAACATCTACCAAAACTAAACGTATTAAGAAAGTGAAATCACATAAGAAGAAAAAGTCTCATAGATCAAAATCTTCTCAAATAGAAACTGTATTTATAATATTTTATTTCATAATAAAACAAATTCTTTATCATACATTAATATTTTTAGGCTGTTTTACATCAACCAACAATTAAAGTAGAATCAATGTCCGAAGAAGAATCTAGTGTTGCTGGTTCAGATATGCCTATGAGTTCTGGTAGTCATTTAACATTATCTGAAAGGTTTAGTAAAATGGCCCAAATGGGTCGTGCCCACGAGTTACCTCAAAGAAGTCTCCGTGTAACAGCCGGTGACGAATTCAGAGTTGAAATTGGTTCACCGCCTCGACCATTTCCTATGTCTCCACCTTTAGGGTAAATATTTAAAAAAAAAAAAAAACAGCTTATTTTTATTATTATTATTTTTTTTTTAATAGGTTGGGTTCATTACCAGAGGGTACGTCTATTGAAGACGTTAAAGGTCGTTATGCATATTATAAAGATCAAGGGTATTTAGGTGATCTAACTTTACCAGAATATGTTAAGTGGGAAGAATGGTGGTATAAATATCAAGATTGGTTAGAAGCAGAACGCGCATACGATGCTCATTTAGATAGGTATAGAGACAGGAGAGGGTTTAGAGGAGACGAGCCTCCTTTATTCTGACATAAAAAAAAATCTACTCGTGGTCATCAGCAATATACTGAATCCGAAGATTGTTTGAGTGGAAAATAATAATACTCTTAAGTGAAAAAAAAAATAAAAATAGAAACAGGTAAACAAAAGTATTTATGTAGATTCAATGAAAATTTTAAATGATCTTAATAACTTACTATTAATAAAGCAGCTTCCTTTATTGTGTGCTATAATTCTTCACTGTAATTATTAACCTAGCTCATTAATTTAAGTAGGTAATCAAAACTGAATCATTATGACTCATTAACTTTTAATGACAAAAAAAAATGTAATTATATTTAATGCAGCTTTTGTCTAGTAATATTATAAGTTGAATAATTTTATATTATTCATAAATGTAAGGGAAATAACTTGTATAAGCAATATTGTTATGTAAACATAAATGTAAATTTTTTTTTAATATTAGGTAGGTAAAGTATAACGAAATATTTGAGTCACCCTATTGTAAACTAAATTAAGTAAACTATATTATAAATATATAATTTATATACTTTAATTAAATCATATTATATTTTTAATTTTAGTGAAAACTAATATTTAATTATAATATACTGTTGTTGTTAATAATGATGTCTAATATAATATTTTAAATTATTATCTTATTTAATATTTTTTATTCCTAGAAAATGTGTCAATTATTTTACTGAGTGAAATGTGTTACAGAATAATTATATGGTTATTTAGCATTTATCATTGAAGATTTCAAGTGTAAAATAATATGATTTGTATTCAAACTATTTTCAACAATTTCCCAATATTCTTAATAACTTAAAAAAATAATACTTAAATAGGAAGTAATATTATATTTCTGAAATTTGTAATATTTGAAATATTTCTTGATTTACAAAAGATGATAATAATTTAATAATTAATTTCAACAGTGTAAGATTTGGACAGAAGAACCAGATAAATGTAAAAAGAAAAAATTATCAAAACATAAAATAGTTGACCTTATAATCACTTGTAAATCATTAAATTGTTATTTATCAAAGATTTAATAAATAGAAATTTTATTTTAAAAGTACAAAAGTAGTATATTAAATAGATATTAAATAATAATATGACACTTAAATGATACCAATGACTTTACAAATCAATATCAAGTGTGTTTAAATTATCATACATTTTAAGTTACTAACTCATGATTAAAGGGAAAACCAGTCAGCAATTATATACAAATAATATTTTAATTTTTACATATAAGTATCATAGTTCAAGTAGTGAATTAACCTCTTAATAATTTATTTCAGTTTTATTAGTTGTTAAACATACACATTTATTTTCCATTGAATCAATTAATTTTTTTGATTTTTAGTTTATATGGAATAGTACATTTTTATTTCATCAAAATATGATTGTATTATAGTGAATTTTTGATTTATAATAGAAGTAAACTATAATCTCTTATCAAATTTAAGGATAAGATTTTATAACTAGAATTGTTAAATTAAAACTACTATAAGTTAGTCTAGTTTTCTTATATAGTCTAACAAAGAAAATTGGAAAAACTAATGTAGTCCATCATAATATATAATACAAATTAATATTAAATTGCTAGTCTCAGAAAACTATTAAAACAACATGCCGCTAGATCGGGAATCAAGTTCAGGTCTCTCAACTGTTGAGCAATTAATCTACCATTGAGTTACCCAACATTCATCCTTCAGCCTGTTTCCAAGATTTATTGAACTTTACCCAAAATTAAAATAATTACCACGACACTACTCAGAATTTATTATAGTATTATGAAACAATTGAATAGAATCTTCTCTAGCATTATAATTTTTTAATGATGTAAATATGTATTGATTAAATGCGTTATTTCCACAAATGAGCCAAAGTGTTTTAGAGTTTTGTTGTTTATCGACTATATCCTTGATAATATCTTGTGAAATTCTACCTTCAACTATATTTTCATTGAACCAAAATGACTTTGTACATTCTGACCAGTTATGTTCTCTGGATAAATATATAAAAACAGCGCAATTCCAATAAGCTGCGTGTTCTGCTAATGTCTTGCGCATTAGTATGCTATCTAAAGTCTTGCATGAGTAATGCAATCGTAGTAATATATCACATTTATTGTTTTCCAAAATCGATCTAATAAGACCCAGGAAAGCAGCTATACCAGTTCCACCACAGAACATAACTATTGAGTCGTACCCTTTGTAGTCAATACCACCTGATGGCCCACGAACAAATATAATGTCGTTTGTTTTCTTTTTTAACAATATTTTAGTGAATTGTCCATTTGGATACACTTTGATTATTGCGTCAAATGCACATTTATCACTTAATGATATTGGTGTATAGTCTACACTGATATTGGTCTAACCATCCCATCCACTCGGATATATACATGTTGTGTAAAAATTATTGGTAATCGACCTTCAGTAGGCGGACTTACTCCAAACGTATACTTGTATACATCGTCAGTGAGCTGTTGGATGGAAACGATCTTGTAAGCTTTATACTTGGTAACCGAAAGTAAATCTCGACGAAGTTGATCTCCCACACTATTCTGACGGCGTTGCCAGCGTGCATATTCTTCGTCATATAAATCCAATACACAGGGCACACATCCTGTACCGCAGCAGTCTGATTCGGACGGACGTTCCGGCGGAGGGTCGTACATGGACGATTTTTACTTGGTACCAGTTTACTGATTTACTTTAACTTCTACTGCTGGCTGTAGGTAATGTTATCGCTGATATCTATTATCCAACTGTGACCAAGACAGTCTTTAGAAGCCTATAAAACGGGATAATTAACACAGACTTTTATACTAATTAACTGCGTACAGACGTCTGTGATATGTAAACGTGAAGTATTGGTCAACATTCAAGCATAATTAGATAACTTATGAAAAAAGGACGTGTATTGTGGAAGTAATCTATTTTCAAAGGTCATTAATATTATGGAATGGCAAATGTATCATTGTCAATTTTTGTTATCACGACGTTATCATCTGTAATATTATCTTTGATATTATATTTAGTTCGTCGGGTGGCCGTCGGCAAACGGAAGCGTCACCGGCACCACCCCACGGCACACCGGGCCCGGGATACCTCGCTACACCCGCACACCCCACATAATAACATTATAATAAAGTATTGATTGTGTTTCGCAGGGGGCAGAACTTATGGGCCCTGCTCAGCTTTATTGATCCCGTTTTCCGCCACCGTATACCACTGTGAGCTCGCTCTGCACAGTTCACACTTACGCTGTGTCCCCGTCGCGCGTCAGTCGTACTTGTACCGTTTTGCCGTTCTTTCGCGCCGTCAAGAAACGTTCTTTGGTCGATCGCTAAGTTCTGCCGTCTGCGCAATCATGGTCAGTATGAACATATTTGTCTCCAACAATATAATATTACAGTTAATATTAGTTTGTTAAAAGCAATATTGTAAACTCGCGCGTATAATCGGAGTATCTACCTACTCTTCACTCTCGTTACACGCGAGCACGACGTATTATAGATAGTTCGAGGGAACATTAGAGGGAATCTGTCTGTTAATAATAATAATTTCGAGTCTTATTCAAAATACGTTAATCGGTCGTAACAAAACTGGGGCGTTTTACCTACCAAACCGACATAGACGTACTGCGTGTTGCGTATAACCCCCCCCCCCTTCCCGCCCTCCCTAAATGAAACGTTTTCGACCAAACCTAAGCCAATCGATTACGTTCGCCAGCGTTTAAACGGTCCGTCTTGTAAATGAACACTTCGAATTGGATAGAAAAAAAAAAAAAATTATAATAATGAAATGAAATAAAAGTCGGGTTTTGTATTGATCGATAACGCGCCGTCGGCGACGAAGTGTCATGGCGGACGCGCAAATGCGCCGGCGCTGCTCGAACGAAAATACTCTCCGGATTGATCGTTTCGTATCTATGGGAGACAGGAACTCGTATCCGTATTAGCGAATTCGATGATTTCAGCGTGTAAATATGGGAAGAGAAAAAATGTCCGAACGCCAGTGCGTGAAACCCACTCCGTTCCGTACGGTTAACTACGGCAATTCGTTTATTGCGCCGGTTTCGTCGTCGTTATTAATTGTCGGTTACGATGTACCCGCGGGCTACGCCCTTTGAATACAAACGGCGGTCAAACGTACGCGTGTCGGATTAATAATAATAACACAATTGATAATATTTAAATAGCGACCGGCGCTAAAAAAAAAAAAAAAAAATGGTAATAATTCGAAACGGCCGCACGCACGCGTTCAATTTAAGAACAACCGGACGGTCATTGTTAACGTTCGGATGAAATTATTTTCTATTTGTAGCGTTTAGTTGGCGTGTGAATTTTATTGTATTACGAACATCGTTTTCCCGTCGACCCGGTAAAACGGGAGCGTTTTTTTTTGTCATTACTCGTTTTTCAATATTTTTTCTGGAAATAATCGATCGCGGGTCGTAATTAGGCCCGTAGCCGCTCCTCTCCCCCACCACCCCCCGCCTCCCGTCTACGCCCGTCGTACGCGGGTCCGGCGAAATTCGAACGCGACTCTCGATTTCCGTAAATCGTTTATACGTTTCGCGCGTCATTACAATTGGTAATTTTTGCAAAACGAAATAATCCGTGACTACCGTCACTCCGGGACGAGCCGTTTAACCGCGGGGGACAAACCGCAGGGGTGTTTCCGAAACGCGCGACAATATCATCGAAAAACGTCCGGCCGTTTTCTTAAACACCGCGGTAATTCATTGGCCAATTAGTATAATTCTAGGGGGGGGTGAGGGCTAATTTCTCTGCGCTACGCTTAGACCCTCTCCCTCTCCCCGCAATTGCCGCCGATGCATTAAGCGCTAACCGGTGGGAGGGGGGAAGAAGCTCATTCCACCGATGGGTGTGCCCGCTGATGTGGGGGCGGCCCAGTCGGGGAACGCGGGATACGCAAAGTCGTATGGAGTTTATGTGCGCGCGCAATGTCGTCTGATCGTCGCCGGCGAAACGCGACTCCGAGCCGAGTTCGGACGAACGCGTTTCGAAATGCCGCGGTTTCCGCGGTTTTCACGGGGATTTTACGGGCGTATTGACCTTCTGCAATCCGCTCCGGTCAATACGCAGATTCCGTCGGGCGCGCCGGCGCCGCCCGATTTGGTCTTCTCTGTACCGCCGCAACACGTACACGGCCTCCCGAATCACCTCCCCTCCGTGGGCCGTCCGTATGCCGCCCTCTCAACCGACCGCCCCCCGAATCGATTTTATCGCGCGGCGCCGATCCGCGATTCGAAAATGTCCGAACACCCTTTTGCGCACCATATACATGTATACAGGGTGTCCTACATACAGTGTTATCCGAACGCTGGTAACTCGATATTCATTTTTTTTTTTTTCCAATCGGATTTTCCAAAAACAAATTCGCTATTGATTTTCATCCCTTGATCACCGAACGAGAAATATGTTTTCGTTTATTAAAATTATCAAAATAGCCGTTTTGTAAAAATGCACGTTGCACGAAGTAACTAATGCAAGTCGCGTTTCACATATTGACCGTGATACACCCGATGACGAATTTTCAACTCGTAACCGATCGTATAATGTGCACTTATCATAATGCTCCGGGCGGCGCATATTGATTTTGACTTTATTATTTTATTATTGTACACCATATAGTCTGGATATTCGAATGTATCGTGCACATTCGTATCCGACCAATAGTCGACTGTTATTCTCAGTAATAGCCGTTTCAATTTCAACATTTCTTGTTTCGTATTACGACTTATGATTCGCTGTCGCGCAGTTGTCTCATTTTTCACACCGTTCTTCAGATGTTATTACGGCCATTGCTACGAAACTATTGGTCGGATATGAACGGACGACGTGTTAAAACGTTTAGAACAATAGGTAAAATATTTTACAAATTGGCCGTTTTGAACATTTTAAAAAGTTATTCATTTTTCTCCGGTGATTAGGAAATGAAAATAAAAAAATCGATTTTTCCCTATGTTTGTATACTCCCCTGATACAAAAGTCGATTGAAAAAAAAAATGAATATTAACCGAGTTATTAGCATTCGGATACCACTGTAGGACACCCTGTATTTTCCAATGTATGTGAACAAGTCTCTTTTCGTCCCATAGATATTTGATCGAAAATTTAGACGAATAATCGTGGTCAATGTCAGATACAATGATTTATTTTTTAATTGCAATTCATACAATTTTCAATTTAGGTTTATCAATCAAAATATGTTTTGGTAAACTTCGCACCGAATAGCTTTTCGTTAGCAATAATGATTTATCGCTGCGTACGGAAATAATTTAAACAAACATGTACCTTTCCAACTTTCCACCTATAAAGAGTGGCATGCACGTCAGCAGTGGCCAAACCAGGGGGGGTGTTTTGGTTGTCCGAACACCCCCCTACATCAGTGTTGAAGTAATACAATATGTGTTTATTTAATGTAGACATATGACACCACCATTAAAAAAATCCTGGTATTACCTACCTACTTTTTTTCTTTTACTTTTTAAATGTACCTATGCTTCTTGAGTTACGTCGTCACTGTAGCAAACAAACCATATTATGGGTAATAATACATTCTTATCAAATGGTAATATAGAGTGGTATTGAATATTTAACGTAGTTTATTATAGATATTTTTAAAATATTACATTTTAATGGTTTTTTTTAAAATTTGAATTGCATTTATATTGGACTGGACATTTAAAATTTAGGGCGTAATAATAAAGGCTTAAAAGTAAATCATGATCTTCAAGATTTCCTTTACAAAATTTTTCAGAAACGCACTTCATATTTATTTTTTTTCTCTTTTTTTTTTAGGTTTACAGTTTGAAGTGTTTTCCTCCCGGTACGGATCACAAAATGATTGTTTCATCTCCATTATTGCCTTATCCGAAAATAATAAAGAAAACGCCCGAAAGGGATTACTTGTCAAGAATGGTTCCGCCGACGTATGAATTTCACAAGAGGGCTAAATACGATCTCGAAAATACTTTCCATATGTTGGTGATGGAGGCTGACATTCGGACTGGGGTCGCGCATAAAAATGCTTGCTCCCGTCTTGGGGCCGTGTGTTATCAGTTGGGACATGTGCTTTACGAGATAGAGAACGGTCTTGGAGTGTCCGTATTGGCGTTCGAAAAAGCTCTCGAAGCAATCGAAGATCATGTAATCGATCCGGACAACGTGCTGACCGCTATAAACTCCCTGAACATGTTGGCCTTTCTGGAAGCAAATCACAATAAAAACACGGAGAGGGCATTAGAGTTCCTCGACAGAGCAGACTCCATATACAAAACTTATCGCGACAAGGAACCGAAAATGCCAGATCCAACAGGTGTTGACGTGCTGTTGGAGGACTGCACTGAAGATAATCGCACGTGGGAGGAGCGGAGTTACAAAAGAAATCCCATGGTAAACGCCAGGTTGTACACTCTGTTCTATTACATTGAGATTTACAGGATTTTGAAGTTGACCGAAGAAGAAATATTCTATTCGCACGCTGCTCTTAAGCACCAGATTGATAACGATATTTATATGCAATGCCCTCTGGATTGGGTACAGACTTGTATTCAAATGTCAGAGTGGTTACTTAACGCGAACGCCTTTCAGCAGGCTAAACATCATATGGAAGCAGCATCTATGTTCCTAGAGGAAGTTATTCCGAAAAATCTCAGCTACTATAATGGGTACGTACCACATAGTATGTAGGTACATGTGTTTAATACTTTAATTATTATTGACATTATAATATTATTAAGTATAAATTATTATGAATTCTGGAATAAAAATTCTTGATACTATAACAAAAAAAAAAAAAATAAAATACTCAATACATATGTTATTGACAGTCATTGGAAAACCATGATGGGTTCTGATAAAGCGAAGTGGGAGGATGGTAAAATCTAACTTACTTCAGTCAAATATAGTTTTATAAAAATAAAAAATTGTTGGAAGATTTAGATATCTGTTATAATATATTGTATTTGTTTTTTTTTTTTCAACTATGGTCAAATTTAAATTTAAATTTATTAATGGTAGATATATGATAAGCTTACGAAGTACCTGTATACTAAAATACACAAAATCAAACGAAACTTAAATGCATTTTTAATATATATTGTTGGGTGGTATTTAAGTAGATACATCGTACTTAAGTACCAATATATATTAAAGGTACATTTTAATGCTTACATGTTTATTTAAAGAAATTAGTTTGAATACCTATTATTTCTGTCCTTATCTCAAAAGTTAACAATTGGACAGTTATTGTAAAACAGTACCTATCTAATTTAAATTTTATATTTAAGTACCTAGGTAATAAAATAAAATCAAATTGACTGTGTGTTGAAGTAAGAATATTTAAAAAATATCTTGAGTATCGAAAGTAAATACCTACTTACCATTTGTGGGACACAGTCAAACATTGTACATAACCATACAAACATTTCAGTTCACAAGAACTCAAGCAATATTTGGCAGATGTTTCATATAGTTGGTCTAGATACGGAATGCGATTGTTGAAGAAGTCTAAGACCAGGTTGATGAAGAAGAAAACGCATAGATTACCTCCTAGTATGTTATTTTATGTTGAAATAGTATCATGAAATAGTATGATAGTAGTTATATTTACATCAAAATAATGGTCTGTATTTTTTTTCAGGTAGTTTCAATGATTTGTTATTCGATAAATTTGAAGAAAAACTTGGTGGGCAAGATACTCCGGTATACGTGGATAATTTTAAGGATGCTGAAGAATTGACCAAAAACATAATTAAATGGATTAATGAAACAAAACTGTTTTATACATTTGATATGTCAAATAACTTTTATGGCTATTTAAGTATCGATAAATGCCAGGCATACAAAAACTTGGCGTTCTTTCAAGATAATTCACTCGAGTAAGTCCCTTCAACTTAATGGTAAATTCAGTGTAAATGGTTTGCATTACAATTTTTATGTTTTCACAGAACGGAAAAATTGTTAAAAATTGGAGTCGTAGATATGGAAATTTTAGTTGTCAAACTTGATGACTTAAGCCTGCGTAGACAAATGTGGTACGAATTAAGCAATATGTACCGTTTCATGATGGAAATTCAGTATGAACAATACGTTTTGATAAAAAAGGAAGTTCCGAAAACTGGTGCCAAGTTAATTAATAAATACTCTAATACTTCCATATCATACTATCTGAAATTTATTGAATCGTTTACAACGTATGTTAAATATTATATTGTTATTACTTATTATAATATTACCTACTATTAGAATTGTATGTTCACTTATATTTTTTTTTATTATGATTTTAATTATGTTAATAGGACTATAGGACCAAGTGAAGTACAAAAGAAAGCGATTTTGTTGTCTAATTTGTATTTGGCAAAATGCTATGATAAACAAATTGTCTACTTAAAACAAGTCAAGATTAGGAATTTATTGGAGGGTGAAAAATATTATAAGGTACCTACCTATTTATCTATCAATAGAATTATATACTATTTACATATTGTTGTTATTATTTTTGTACAATAATTAGGGTTAGATCAATACTGGTAAGAAATTAATAAATAACAAATTTTAAATTTAAGAAATCCAATGATAATATATGAGAAAATTAAAACATTAATTTGATTTTAGTTTATAAAAATCTATCGAGGTTGTTTTTATTATAATTAAGGGTGTATTTTAAAGCTTTTCATTGAGTGCAATATTTGGTTACTAGGTAGTATTCTCCTGCTAATAATTATAATCCAATGTATTTTATTTGCACAACAATTTTAATAAAAACACATTCAACTTACTCCCACTCTTTAATTTTTTATGAGAACACATTATTGTATTATGCTCACGAGTCACAATAATCTATTGCAACTGCAATCTTATCTCAACTTCAATAATATTGTTATAAACTTATATATTATAATAATGTCATAGTTTCATAATATGTAGGTATCTATTATTTTCTTACTTATTTATGTGCATTCGATCAGTTACTGAAAGATATTTTTCTGACATTTGACCAAAAAGTTACTTATATTTTATACTAATCATAAATGTTTCTGAAAAATAATGATTATTCCTGGTTTCCTACTATTACCTATTGGCTTTTATTACTCATAATATAACTTATAATAACTAAATTATAAAGTTCTTCGTACCTTTGGTTTAAAATCTTAAGCTGATAGAAGGATATAGAGCAATTTGGTGTTTTGTTGAAAATAATCAACTCTTACATTGATGATTCTGTGTTATTCAGTAATGTCAATTTTCTTGTCCCCTCAAAACTTTCAGCAGTTCCATTATTTTTCCATCCATATTTGTCCTACTCGTTATTCAGAATATAATCCTTTGCATAGGATCATGCAACTAGCCAAAGAGAATCCTTCATTCCTTATTTGATTTTTTTTTATTACAATTTTATTTACTGTTGTGTGTTACTATATTTATTTTTAATCAATTGATTTGTCAATGTATTGAATCTAAATTGGGTCAATCTTGTATATTTGCAGTGAATAAATATCATTAGGTATAATTTAATTACCTATTATAATTTAATGGAAATTAATTACTTGCCTGTTTTTTTTTTTTTTTTTATAGAGAATTATAAATTACTGTGAGTCTGATTATGCACTAGCAGCAATGATTCCTTACGAGTTGTCATACGCCAGAAATATGTTGAAGTTACTTCCAACAAAGATTAAAAATCTATCTAAGTTATCAAAAACATCTAAGTGTTACGTTTAATCTTGTAATAGGTATCTATATAAATCAAGTAAGGTGCACTCATTATTTACCATTTATCTGCTTCCGACTGTCATATAATATTTTATTAACTCTTTTTTTATTTAATTTGTTTTATATATTATTAAAAATCTTTCATTTGACTGATTATATCTGTAAAGCATAAGGTAAATACATAGGTACCTATTATCTACGTACTTACATTATGTTTTATATTAATACACATTACGCAATTATTTTTTTAATTGTTTATTTACTTATTAAAATTGTATAACTTTCAGTAGTGTGCCATGGAAATTTCTATAGGAGGTTATGTAGTAAATAATAATTATGATCCAACAATAAAGTATAAAATCTTCTTTAGTCATATCTAATCTGAAAATGAGAATTTGAGATTCAATAAAGCTAATTTAATAAATCCAACTTTCTTCCTTCTAACTTGATTGAAATATATAATTTCAAGATAAAATTACAAAATAAATACTCATTACTTAGTTGATTTTATTTTTAAACAAATGAAGGGAATATAACCCCCACCCCCATGTGCATGTCACTGATAATCCGGTATCTATCTAACTTAGGGGTATATTCGTGTATTCTTTTCTCTAATGACATGAAAACTTACACGAGGGGAAAAAATCTACATAAAAGTATTTTCAAAATTGATTACATTTAATACTTTATATATTTGATCAAAAGAAAATTTGTGTACATCTTGTTTTTATTTAGGCACCTTTTTATATGTCCCCATATAAACCGAATAAAGACAACATTTAAAGGAGTTTATCACTGAGTAACATGATTTGTTTATTATTTTTTGCATAATATGTTTTTAACTTAACAGGTTTCTTGTTGTTGTTGATTTTCTATAAATACCTAATAATTAATTTAATTACATGATTTAGATGGATAGTCGAGCTACATAAAATTGTGATTATTGTTAGGGCTGAAAATGAATAAAACACTATAGTGTTGTAAGTGTTAATCTCTGTGAGAGGTTGTTTCATAGACATATGGAATATTAAAGTATATAATATGTGGCCATGAGGAAAATAATCTTGTAAGTTTTACCTCCAATAACAATAGGTGTTTTACTATTTAATATTTTATTAACTTCTTACTCACATTTTGTTTAAAATATTGAAATCAATATTATGAAATGTTGTAAATAATTTTTAAGATAGGTATTTCCTTAGCTTAGTCTAATCAGTGGTGCTGAAGTATTCTTCAACTATGTACCAGTTTGGTAAACTTGCATAATCTTATAAACCTATGTTCATTAAAATAAGAAGTAATTTTTTAGAATCATATAAGAACGTAAAAGGACTTAATTTTTCATGTAGGCATTTGGTTAAATAATGTCAGATAATTTTTAAACATATTAATTCATGACTTAAACTATTGATTTTCACATTGAAAATTAATTAATCATAGTATTCTTTTTAGCAATAAACATTATAACTAAAATCACTTTTGTTACGTAAGTATTAACATTTTTTAATAAATGTGATAGTTTAATACATAATTTAGTATAATAAATAATAATTTATTAAAATTCTTGAAAAATGTAATAATATAATTTTAAGGTTTTTAATATAATTCTAATTGGAATACTATGATATAGGAGTACTAAAGTACTTTCATTGGAATCCTAAGAAGAAGTCCATTTAAGTCCTCTAGTGGGATTTCTCACGGGAGTCTCAGTTAGGTCAGGGTCTACTCAATACCCTTTAAATTGAACCCAGCTGCATAAGTAGTGTTCGGCACTACTGGTTTACTATAGTCAATAAGTATATATTTTAAATTAAGAATATTATTGTATTATTGTATTTATGTTTTAACTTTGAATGCATATAATATTTGCATATAGATAGTTTAATGTATAATGTGTAGTGAATATATCTAGTGGTTTAAATTAAATGTTTAATATTTAAAATATTAATTAATTAATCAATCTCATATGTTGTTTATAAGCACAATTACAATCGTGTTCATAATATGTTTTAATCTCATTTTTTTAGGAAAAGCTATGAATAAATTATGTATTTAGTATCTACATTTAAAAATAAAAAATAAAATACATTACGTAGTATTAATAGCCATTAATATAATCAAAACTAATCGCTTGTACCTAATAATAATTTATTTTAAAAATACTCTTGATTATATAATAGATTCTTTAAAGTTAAATTAAACTATGTTAATCTACTAAATATTGTAATAATGTTTATTACTGTTAAGCTTGTGGCTTGAATTGTTTAATTTTTAAATAAAGAGTATAATTGACTATCTAAGATAAGATCACATGTTTTATTATTTGTGTTTTTAATAAATTAAATCATATACCTATTTCAAAATATTTATTTAATTGTTCTATACTGGGTTGATAATTATAATATAGGTGCATATAATAGGTATAAACAATCAATATATATATATATATATATATATATATTGGTAGGTATATATAATACCTAAATTTAAACGTGATTTCCTGTGTGTGTCATTATAACTCCACAATTAACAGGAGTTATATGGTATGGTAGCCCTACATCCCCTATCCATAAAGAATGCTTCAGTTTGGAACTGTAAGAGTTGGATTCTGAGATATGAGTACCAAAAGAAGGCATTGTACCAATGGACTTCTTATGAAAAATCGGTAGAGCAAAAAGTGTTTGTTTATTTTTTTTTTTTACATTGCAATGAAACGATCTATTTTATTGTACTATTGTAGCATATGCTACTTTTTATCCTAGAAAAACATCTCATTGTCATGGGAAATAAACCATATTCTCAATTTTTTTAAATGTATAATTTCCAGGGATTTTAATTTAGAGCAATTGCTTTTGCACCAGGATAGAGCTCAATCAGGACTATCAACCTCCAAAACCATCTTTTACTAAAAAAACTAACAGACTATTATTGTAACCCGACCCTACGTGAAATAGTTTTACACAATGAATGTTTAAAAAATAGTATGAAACTGATAAACTTATCACATTTCCAATTTTTAAAAATGTATAGTTTCTTTAAAAATGAGCAAAGCCGTGCTGGGGAAAACTATTTTCATAGGACAAATGTAAAATTAATATATATGATAGCATATATTAATATATATGTAAAGCCAGATATGCAGGGTGTTCTACCGCTAACAGATTATTGTGATTGTGCTTACACTGCGTTTGCAGAAATTTTATAGGTAGTATGTACAGCCAAGAATAGTTGGAGAGTAGAAATCATAAATTATTTAGGCTCTCTTGAAATATCCATGTACCATTGTGCTAAATTTGAGGTATCTATATAGATAAAAAAGAGAATGTTTACGAGTTCACAACTAAAGTTAAATTAACTTAGTTGATAACTTTTTGGGCACATACAAATATAAAAATAATAATATTATTATATTTAACAATAAGTACTTGACTAAGTATGTAGATTACGCATTATACACTGCTAATGCACAAAGCTGGGTAATATATTTTAGTGTATCTTCCTATATAGTATAGTATTATAGTGTATATAATTATCTTTATTTACAATATGGCTTAAATCTATTTACAAATATACGAAATTCAATTCTTTTTTTTAGCTGCGGCTTACCCAATGTGATTTTGCATAATAAATTTATTGTCATTTCAGTTTTAACTTATACCTGGTTTCAAAAGAGAACATACCGCTTTCATGACCAGTTTTCATTCGACAGTGAAAGCGGTATGTTCTCTTTTGAAACAATTTAGCTGTCATAGGTCAATAGAACAATACCTCTCAGTCAAATGTATATGATAATTTATAATAAATACATTGTATTACATGTGTTATTATATATATTAGCGATCTTAATTACCACACTGATATCTTAGCCATAAGTTGTTTTATTTTATTATTTATATAAACTGGTTAGTGCCCAATTAATAGGATACATAACATAATATTTAATGTAGTATAAATAAGAATGAAAAAGATAATTATATATTAAGGAAAGAGGGGCCCTCTTTGCCAGTTTCATTAGCAGATTGATCGGTTGATTCAGCATGTAATTTGTTATGCAGAGAGAAACGTGAAAAGGAATTTTATGGTTATAAAGTTTAAAAGACATTAGGATTATTAAAAAAATAGTTTTGTCTGATTTCAAGCTGTCCTCACTGAATGTTCTCAGTAGGACGTCCCCTATTAGAATATGGCTATACTGCACCTGACTCCTCAATTTTATAGCGCATCTAAAGACACTTTCTCTCTTTCGCATTTTATTTCATCAATATTAAACACTGATTACACGACTATGTCCTGATCCTATACACATTAGAGCTTAGCTACCCTAATAGACAGAAGAGCTGACTCCAATTTTTATAGTTTCTTCATAAAATTATTGATTGCATCTAATATGATGTACCCTCTATCCTATGTAAGTTTTCATGTACCCTAAGACTACCCCATCTGTTATTTCATTTGTCATCCTTTTGCATGTATCAAACTTTAGTCTGAACAATCCTATCGATCGCCTAATGTGTAAAGCAAAAGAGTCTATCTTTATGGTGGCTTAGTTTCACCAACACTACAGTCTGTGTATTGTTCAACCAAAAATAATTTTTTTCTGTATTATTAAATAAGTTAGATACTTCTGTTCAAATTGTTCAACTGGGCATTAATTAATTTATAAATAAATAAAGATACATAGCATAGTTCAATTATAATTAATTTTTTCTAGAAATATGAGTAATTGCTTTCATGTAATAACCTAACCTAACAATATATATTATTCTAGTAATTATAGGTTCAATATCTTAATGATTTAAAGAAGTGGTTATTAAACTTTCTATAAATACTGCACTCTATCGTCACAAATCTGTCACAAACTCATGACTAAAGATACAAGCACAGAATAAATGAAATTTCACTTATTTTGTGGTACAAGTATCAATATGTATATTACAGTGTGAAATTTACTATTTTTAAGGTTGATACAAATTGTAACAGTGTTCCTTATATGTATCTATTGACTAAATAGTCAATTTATACTTGTATATTTATTTATTTATTAAATGAATTTAAAATTTAAGCGTTAAACAAACCAAAACTTCTAATTGACAAGAAAATTGCAAACTAGCATGATACACTTCATTAGTATTTATTGTTCATTAGTAATAAGTGGTACGTTTAAAAACCATTAATTTAATTTCTAGAATTAAATCTTTTTTTTATAAAGTATTAGTAACAATTAAACATGAATTATGAATGTATAAGAGTAGAAGTTGCAACATATAAAGTAACAGTGTACTTAGTATAAAAAAGTCTGAGTAAGTTAGGTTAGAACTTTAAAAATAAAACTGAATTTTAGTTATCATTGGTATGTGTCAATTGGGTATTAATCAATTAAAGAACAAGATAGTTTAATTTATATATATAAAAAAGATAAATCTTATAACTTTAATGGTAATAAATAATAGGGATAATTAATACAAAAATAGGTTATAAAGATAATTTATTTTATAGCTCATTGTGATCAACGAGCCAATCATCTTGTGGTTGTCTGTATGTTTCATTATTCATTAATACAAAGTTAATGCCTGGACCATAATATGGAATGATATAATGTGAGCCATCAGCTGGACGTACAATTTGCGTTGCAATAAGTACTACATCAACTAACTGGCCAATGAACATAAATCCAAGGGTACATAATTTTAGTAGACCAATTGCTGGGTAACCTAGATAGAAACGATCTATACCAAACATGCCCAAAAAAATAGACAGTAACAGTGTTGTTTCATAATGGTACCCATTGCTATAAGTACCAATAGTTAAATTAGTATTGAATTCAGAATAATATAAAAAATATATACTTACGTCCATTTGCATGGAAATTCTTTCCAAAATGTTGAATTCTTGGTTTCCAAGCACACAATACCTTCGCTTGCTTTGCACTGAACTTAAAAATCGATAAATTGGTAATTAAATTTGATAAACATAGAATAATATCATAACAGATAAAGTGCTAAAACCTTGAGCGACGTTGTCTTTAGTACATCCACGTAACTGCTGTGTCTCTGGATCAATGAAGTCATATGCTGGGTCAGGGCACAGAAATTGACCCATTCTTAGATTTTTACATTCTGTTTCGTAGAGATCTGTCTTTCCGGGTCCTTGAGATGGTTGCGTAAAATATACAAAATTTGTTAGTAGAACAATAATCAGAGATGGCCAAGTCGAAATCATAGCATTATCAATCACGTTCTGAATGTGAAAAAAAATAAAAATTGACTTCAGACTTAAGAAAAAAAAAAAGGTATTTTATCATTGAATATAAATACTAATAAGGAAGGATGTAAGTTCTTAATAATGATTACCTATTAATTTAACTTGTAACTTAACATTTCACGAAATACGTAAAATTATAACAATAATAATATTATTTATTTTAATCAGTTTAAACGGTGAATAGTGATAATCGGCTGATAAAACATAATTCACAAGACATTCTTAATAACCATGTATTCATGAATATAAATTTGTTTGTAAGCATAGGTGACATCAAACATTATCACTTGCAGTTCTCTTTGTACCACGGTAGATTACAGGCACGATTTAAGATATCTTAAACCGTGATTAAGGGGAGCGCGTAAAAAAACCGAAAATATATCAGTCGAACCGTAAAGTTATTAAAGATCCATCTTATATAGCAGAATTAACAAGTAGCAATAGCACATAATTTTCTTTCTTGTACGGTACGTTCGTTTATGATTGTAGTAAATAAGTAGTTAACATTATCTAAACCTTTAAATATATGTCAGTGAGTATTAGTCAATGAATAGACAAATAAAACCTCAAGAACAAGAAACAGTTCTTTTTATCTGTGATTGTATGTATTTGTATATTGTACTATGTTATATCCATGATGACTAGAAGTCTTTAATAATTATATTATAAACAGATAATCATATAATATTTAATATTTATCTAATGTAACATTTTTGATGTTGGAAAATAAACTATTTATTATTATTACCTGTGGTATAGATAATATAGAAATTATTATCTATGGTCGTATCACTGGAGAGCCGACATTCTATGACAGTGTGACCAATCCAGAGTAAAATCGAAGTGTATTTCTTATCGGTTTGTATTTTCGCGTCATTAAGTAATTTAAGTTTTGCATTTGGCGTATTTCTGTATTTTCTTTATTCTCAAAAATCAATATTTAAACAGATTTTCCACTTTTCTCACACTCTTACGGCTGGATATCAAGTAGAACCTTTTAAGAGTTGTTCGTCATTTGCAGTGTTATTATCGTGGATATTGTACTACTTGCTAATTGTTTTTTATTTAAAAGAAAAAGTTTTATTTTTGTTTACAAGCATGGCTTTGTTGGAGAAGTATTTTAATGAAGCTCTACCTGAGGATTTGCATCAAGGTATCAAAACTTCCTGGTGGCATTCATTAATGGAACATTACCATACAAATAATCGGCGTTGTCATTGTTTGAAGGATCTGAATGACTGTTTAGAACATTTTGAAACTGCTAAGGGTTTTTTAAAAAACCCTAAAGCTGTCAGTTTAGCTATAATATTTCGATAGTGAGTACTAATAAATACCAATATTTTGATTACAAAAATAAATAATATATTTTACTACTTAATATTTATTTTTAGTTATGAATATGACCCTAAGTTGGCTGACTGGGGTGAAATAAACATTAATCATTTTCGAGAGTTTTCAGAAGATACAAAATTAGACATGGTAAATAAATTATTATTAATAAAATGTGTAGATAGCTCTGCAATTTTTTCTCAGATAATAGTGTTTCAGGTTATTAAAATTGTTACAAATTTATGTAAATCTACAGGATGATCAATATTTTTACAAGACGTTATTTATCAAAAAGTGTTACTTTATTTCAATATTTTCTTTTAGAAAATTAAGAGGCATATAGTTTTGAAATGTTATATTGCCCTTATTTATAGTAATAAAATCAGAAATAACTTTATTTTTAAATGTCAACCTATATTAAGTTTCCATAAATATATGACATTTTAGTTAAAATAAAATTGGATGTTGAAATTTTTAAATTATAAGATATAGGCACCACTTAAGTTTGATCATTTTGCATGTAGAGGGGTAGAGCACAACATAGTTGGTAATTAATACAGTTCAATACTTACCTAATTATATTTTAAAATAATAATCAGTGATAGAAGTTATGGAACAAATATGAGAAAACGCCTTGTATGTGATAATATTTTGTTTTAGAATACAGATTTGTGTGAAGATGTAATTTCTTTATTAAAAGTTGGAGCTACTAACAGCACGGATGAACACAAAATTGAAGGATGCTTTGGATGTGAAGATAAACATTACTTTTTAGATATAGACATGGCCATTTTAGGTGTGGGATCAGATGATTATGAAAAATACACTAACCATGTCCGGGAAGAATATGATTTTCTTGATGACCGAACTTATAAAGATCTACGTGTAAAGGTAAATTAAATTTTAGAATTTTAATTCTTTACAAAAAATATGAAACTTATAATTTTATTTTATTTTAACAGGTTCTTGAAAGTTTTCTACAGATTCCTAATATATATGCAACACAGTTATTTAGAGAACGATATGAATCAGTGGCTAGAAATAATATCCAAAAAGAAATTAACTCTTTAAAATCGGGATCCATGTAAAAATGTAATTCATTTTTAATATAATGTTATAATAATTTTAAATATTATATAATATGTTGCCTATAAATCATAATAATGTATTAGTCAGGGTGTTTTGTTTGAATTATTTCTTCTGAATTTGAATTAATTTAAAGGGGATTCAGTTGACCAAACTAATGGTTGTGAAAAAGGCGAGGAGGATGGCAGATATATACTTGAATCTATACTTAGATCTATACTTAAATTTTAGGTAATCGCGCTATATTAATATATTAATAATTAGACGCTATTATATTATTATAATACGAGTACATGTGTTTTGTGTTATAGTGTATGAAAGTTTAATATTAGGGATTATTTTAAATTTCAATAGCATATATTTTAAGTACTTTAGTATCTACTTAATTAGTATTAGTTATAAGTATTTTTATTTTGTTTACAATGATCTTATTTTTCTAGTATATATAATTTTAATTCGATTTAGTTTTTACTTGATTACATGATTATAATTTAGTAATACATTAAATTTTTTGTTTTTCTAAATATTTATTGTTTAAACTTAATATATTGTTGTATTTAGTTAAATGTTATGGTAATGATAGTTTTAAAACTACTCTTCACCTATAACTTATTTAAAAATTATTTGGTACTGATACTTATTTCCAGTACGTAGTACTTGGCTATAAATCCTTTAGTATAATGTTTATATAAAGGCTATTATTAACTAAATTACCTTACTGAAAATGTTAAATAATTTTATTATATACATTTTTCTAATTGTCTGCATACTTTTTACAACTATTTAATTATCTTATCCCTTTATTATATTATAATATTCTATTATATAGTATGTCTAGTTCATTTTAGTGTTCTTCTTCGCCTTCATTCCAATTATTAAGGATTGGCCACCCTTGTCTTAAACTTCCACTTAACTCTATCCCCCACATCATCCTCACATACACCCATCATCTTTATATTATTCTCAACCACCTTTTTTTTAGTCTTCCTCTCCCCTCTTTTCTCCTACATCTATTTTTTTTTACAATTATTGCTGATTCTAATTTGTCGTTCCTCATAACATGCCTAAACAATCTCAGTCTATTTTCTCTCATTTTGTTCACAACTATGCTATTTGTTATATAAATTTTCTTTCCATATCCTATCTTCTTTTTCGTCTCTCCACTCATCCACATAGGCGTTACCATCTCTGTTACATTAATTCTCTGTTCTATTTTCCTGTCTACCACCTGATACTCTGACCCATATAACATAGTTGGTCTCACTGCACTCTTGTAGAACTTGTCTTTAATTGTCATTGGAATCCTATGTCTCATATCCATGTTAAAAGATCCACTGTTCTTTTGAACAGAAGATCCTAGGTACTTAAAGTTCTCATTTTAGTATTTTATACATTTATTTCATAATTTTATTAAATGATCTCAGCATGCCAGTAATAAGTTATACAAAATTAATGTTTAAATGTGTTGAAATATAAAATGAAACCATGATATGTAATATTTTTTTATTTATTTATTCATTGATTAAATTAACTAAGTTACTTTATTTGCATGGTGGCACCGATATAGTTCTACTTATTATTATTTATATGTCAATACTTCTAATAATTATAAACTTCAAGGTAAATGTTTTTACTCATATTACTGGAATAGTAATCAAATTAAATTATTAATTATATTTATCACAGCTAATTGCCAAAGACTATTTAAACTTTTAAGTGATAGATAAAATCATGGAGGATTCTGGTTTCTCTCATAGGCGCTCAGTAATCAATCAACATATTCAAAAACAAAAATATCTTGTTAGAAAAAAATTTTAAAATTAAAAAAAAACGTTTTTACAAATTAACAAATGAATTGAAACGTTAATATAGGTACTCAAATAATATAAAATATAAATTAAGCTAAAATATTAAATTATTCAATAAATATATAGAATAGTAAATAACAATTTAATTTCAAATTAAATTATATAATTAACTCGTAAAATTTATTCAACTTAGATAGGTATGCTGTATTACTAATAGTGAAATAAATTAATAACTATAATACCACAAAATATACTTCATAAACATTAGTTAAAATGTAAAATATCTAACTCAATGACGTAAATTAGTAGACTACTGACTAGATATACTATTCTAAAAATTTGGAAATACTTTTTGGTACATTTTGAAATTTGGATACATTGATTTATATTCTAGACACTCGTATGGTTTAGAAAATATAAACATTTAAGTATAAATTAGTTCATACAAAACTACAAAAATATTAAGTATTAGCACAACTAAATGGAAACTATCGATTGATTTATTGAACTACCGGTCCATAGAACTATATTGAACAGTTTCATGGTAATAAATTAGGTAGGTATTTACCTATACTTTAAGCAAACAAAAAAGTTGTCTTAGGATAATGGAGAAATTTGCAACCACTGTTTTGGTGAGAAGTTGGGAAGATAGTAGAGGGGAAATTTATTGTATATCTGTACGCAACGATTAGTCAAACAAAAATACGATTCTGAGTGGAGTTCATTTGATAGTGTTGTTTTAACTACATTATATATGTCATATTATAATAAAAAATTACATACTTATGCACTATATAATATTTTGTTTAATGTTGTATTTATTACCTAGTTTTTCCCATATTTTTTCCAATTATTGGGAAAATTAAAAATCACCTTCCTAAAGTATTACCTCAGTCAGATTTCCTATCAGATAAAATATTATTGTGAATTGGAACAATATTGCTGGTAGAAAAGTTCCACAAAAAAAAAAATACATTGTTAAACCAATACATTCCATGCTTCACTCAGAATCTAAAAGTTTAGCAGCAATAATTATTATTCTGTTTGATAGTTCAGTAAATACTATCGAATACCTACTCTTTTGATAGTTCGATAAAAACCTATCAAATACTTTTACGATACTTAGTTAAAAGAATTCAGTCAAACAATAAATTATTCATTCAAATAATATTCAATAGTTTTAGTATAACTACCTATCGAATGTAGCGGATAGTCAAAATTATTTCATTTTAAAAAATAAAAAATAAGTTTTTATAACTGACCTCAGTATTTTACACAAATTAAAATTACTTATGTATCATATTTTGTTATATAACTCAGGTAGAATGTTTCATAAAAAAATTGTAACTGAATATTCATTTTATTTAAACTTATAAATTCTAGGAGGAGGGGAAGTATATATATTTGTTTCATTGATTTTGTAATAATACAAGTTCTTTGCATCTTCAAAATTGTTAGAGCCATCTTATTTATCAAGTTTTAAAAAAATATTTTTTTTTTCTGTTCCTCCAAACTCATACTCTAAGTCTCTAACTACCATCTTTTTGTTTTACTTGCATTATTTCTGGTTTGTTAAATATGCTTCCAAGTTTTCTAATTAAATTAAATTCAAGTACCAATGACTTTAAAAAATAAATTGATTTTTACAAAAGCTTTTTAACAACACATGATATTTTTGTATCCGAATTGAATATGTGGATGGAAAAATGAAAATTGGTAGGTACCCGATAAAGAATTTCTAAAATCTGCAATCGATATTATAGGCGTTATGTCGAAAGACCTTTCTCAAACATTTAGTGTTTAATATCTAAGTTGTCTATCCTATTCAAATATTTATATTATTTTATCTGGCCTACCCAGAAAAATATTTCTAGCTATTCCTCTGGCTGCAGTAAAGATCTTCTAACAGGTTTATTTATTGTCAGTCCACCGAAGTATCCCAATACTTATTGAAGAAATAATCAATACATTTTCCAGAATGTCACTCGAGGTTGATTGACTTTGTTTAATGATTTGAAATTGTACTCAACCATTTTTTTCATAATTATTATAGTTTGTATAGATTATTACTAATTTTGTACTATACTACTATATAATTAAAAATATTTTAACCCCCTCCCCCAGATAATTAAACCTGAATATGTGCTAGCAATAGGTATTTAATGTTAATTTATAATTTATTAATATTATATTAATTCATGTATTCATTGTGATATTACAAAAATGGCGGATGTTAATGCCATGGTGTTGTAAGTCAAGTTTTTGTTAAGTGCTGATATATTAATTAAAGGCCAATTTATTTTTCGATAGGCAAAGTGAATTAAGTCATAACTAACAATCACTACAATTAGATGACAGCACAAGATTTGTTTTGAAATTAACTGGCTGGTTTGTTAACTTTAAAAGTGACATTAAACTATAAAATTAATGTGACTTACACCACTATAGGGTAGTTTAACCCCTTATAAATCATGATTTATTTTAATATTTCGATTCGGGATATAATTCACTTTCTCATGACAAAATAATTTTGTGAGCAATGATTTGTCAAACTAAAGAACAAATTACTACAAAACTCGCCGTAGCCACAATCGAGCGCTAGTTGATAGTTCATTTAAGAAGATGGTACTAATACCTGATAAAACGTCTATGGCAGTATAATATGCAAGTATATGCGAGATTTACATTTTCCGATAAGATGATAAGAAGACTACTGTCTAGTCTAAATATCAATAATTATAAATTTGACTTTTTCGTTGCAATTTGCTAATTAGAATACATTTTTATTCCAGTAAAACTAGTAAGGCTTTTAATTGTAGTTTGTACTCGAATATAGGTACTATGTCCCGACAAAGCACACGATTAGATGTTAAAAAAGTTGTAAGTACCTTTTTATTAATTTTGAAATTTATCTTCATTTTGAAATTTTATAAATTAAAATTGAATTAATTAGATATAACAGTTAACAAACATTCAATTTTTAACATAAGAATGGTGTACACTATACTTCTTATAATGTAGATACATGTAAAAAAATGTTTTTATCCTTCAATATGATTATTATGTTATTCATTCATTTATTATGCTTTTGACTTATTAAAAAAGAAAAAAATGATTATCTAGTGTTAAATTGTAATGAGTATATTTTATCATTCATTTGAGTGAATTATGACTGAAAAGACAAGATTTTCTGAAAATTGGATAGTTTGGTAGCTCATCACAATTGGATGTTGTAAGACCAAATGGGCATTAGTAATGTTTTGTATAAAATTAAATAATTGATTTTAAAATCTAAGGAATAATTGCTATCAAAATAATATTATATTTCCAAAGCTCCTTTTTAGTTTTACAATGATGTTTTTTCCTCTAGGCATTTTGTTTAGTATTTTATATATGAGATATAGGATTCATTTAATCAATATTTAGACTTTCACTTGTCAAGATTAGTTAATTTTAATAATTTAATAGTTGAGTTTGTATTCATTATAATTTATAATATTACCTATATACCTCATTACAAATTTTAATTTATTATTTGGTCTAAGTAGCTTTACTATTTATATATTTGTTGTGGGTTTTTTATTCAACATATTGTACACAAAACATTAAATATAATTGATAAAATATTATTTGAAAAAAACAGATATAACAGATTATAGAACTCTTCCAGCGGAGATACTACAATAATTAATAAATTAACAATAATATTTCATATTTATTTTACATCTGCATTAATAAAGCAATTTTGACAGTTAAAGTAGGTATATATCGTGGTTTTTATATATTATATGTGTCATATTATATTTTATATCATTATATAATGTTAGCTAATTATCAATCTTTTTCAGAACTCGGAATTATTCACTTTAACATATGGTGCTATTGTGTCACAATTAATGAAAGACTATGAAAATGTCGAGGATGTGAACAAACAATTAGATCGAATGGGTTATAATATTGGTGTGCGTATGGTTGAAGACTTTTTAGCACGCACCAATGCTGTGAGATGTTACGATTTAAGAGAAACGGCTGATAAAATTCAGGTTTTACTATTGTTTAATAATAATAATTGTAGTGTTTATAACTTATCATTGTGTTTCATTATAGTATGCATTTAAAATGTATTTGGGTATAACTCCAGCATTAACTAATTGGAGTGCTGCTGGGGACGAGTTTTCCTTAACGTTTGACACCAATCCATTAACAGAATTTGTGGAATTACCAGATAATTATCAAAATCTTAAGTATAGTAATATATTATGCGGCGCCCTGAGAGGATCGTGTGAAATGGTATTTATAACAATTTTATAATGTTCTTAAAAATACTTAAATATGAAATAGATAAAAGTTACCTAAGTACATTTAAAACTACTGAAGAAAATAAGAATTTATTGTTACTAGTCCACTTATTATAATTGCTTTTTATGTTATCTGTTAATTTTTATAACACCAAATGAAACTGAAAATTATATTCAATTATACCAACATAATTTGTATTATCATGTAATATGACATTAACATAACGTGTATTTATCAAAATAAATTAACCATTAGCTCATATGTTAAATATCTAGGTATAGAAAAGAGTAAACATCTTAAATAGATAAAATACATAGATTTGATGGTAACTAAAGTTAAAAATCTAAAGCATTTATTAAACTCTATTAAAATTAAAAGTATATATAATATATTAGTTGAATCATTATTTACTTATGCTATAATTGCTTGGGGCAGTGTGTGCTATCCAACCTTAAGCAACATCAAATAACCCAAAACTATATAATATTGAGAATTATAATAATTAAAAATTGACACTATCATAATATAAACTTATAGTTTCAATGTCTTAACAAGAAAAAAAAAACTTTAGATTCTGAGAGAAGGTTTTGCAATGATTATTATTTTTTTTTTTTCTGTGAACAAATTTTCTAGTGTAGCACCTTTTCTGAAAGAAAATATTTCTGGGGTACTTAAGGGAGGTTATTTTTTGATTTTCTCAGGGGTTTTCATAATAAATGGAAAAACTTAGGAAAAACCGGAAAAATTACAAAATGTATTATTTTCAACTTGTAAATATTACGGCCTTTCAAAACATGTATAATCTGAACTCTGTTTAGAATCGTTTTTTGTTAGCAAAGATGAATTGTTGCACACAGATTTATATTAAATTCCATTCTATAAACTACCTTCCCAACTTCTCACCTACAACAGTGGCCCACCCATAATGCAAAGTATGTCTGTATCATTTTAAAAGTGTAGTTATCTATTCATTACAAATAATCTAAATAAATCATTAAACCATAATTTTAATACTCAACATAGGTTAAATAATATTATTGTTCCCAGTACACACAAAGATTTCACCTAATCTTGACTTTCTTTTGTTAGATATTTTGTATTCAATAGACACTACTTATGTTTTCTTTTTTTTTTGGAAATAATCCTGCCACTTGGAATTACTGTGAAGCAATACTTTAGACAGCTGGACAGAATTACATTTCCTAAACTTAAAAAACTTCAAATTTTCCCTAGCCAAGTAGCTGTTTCAACAAGTTGCAGATTACAATATGTACATTATACATCTTGTCATAAGAATTATTTTTAATAGTAATAATAATAATATAATTAACCATTTTTTTTTTTTTTTTTTTATAAATACTTAGCTTTAATAACTGTTATGTTATTTGAGTTTTAGAAATAAATGTTGTAAATGTTAGCTATAAGATTTCATGGGCCCCACGCAAACATATTCAGTGGGACCAATTATCTTTTCAGAAGAATAAATAAAACTGTGTTCATATAGATGTATAAATAAAAACACTTATGTAGAAATAATATACTAAATAACTCAAAAATAATGTTACTAGACATTTATGTAAAGCTCAGTAAAAATGTAATTACATAAATTTATCCCAGCATTATTAATAAATATATATAAGACTTGTTCTTCCATTTTTGCTCTGGTATATTGTAAATATTTTTGAAAAATTATAATATTTAATTATTCTGTGTTTAGATGTGGCAGATCTACAAATTTAAGCACTTTCAAACAATTTCTTTTAAATTCTTTTTTCCTAAATAAACAAACTGATGTTATTTATACTGATTTTGAGAAGGCATTTGGCAGGATCAATCACTCTCATTTAATCACAAAACTCGCAAAAATTGGGTTTGCGGTTTGATCCATTTATTTCTTGGTTTAATTCATTTTTATTTAACAGATTGCAGTTTGTTAAATATAAACATTTCATTTCAAAGTCTATATCTGTCATTTTTGTTGTCCCCCAAGGAGATCACCTTTCTCCTCTTCTTTTTAATTAATTAACTAATGATATTATTTTTGCATTAAATAATTCTAACACTTTGCTTTTTGCTGATGATGCAAAAATGTTTCAAGTAATTATTGACCTGGAAGATGCGAAACTACTATAAATTGATTTAAATATTATTTATGATTAACGCAATTCTAACGGAATGACCCTTAACATTAATAAATGTAATCCTATATTTTTCTCCAAAAAACGTAATCTAATAACATTTAATTATAATTTAGATTCTTGTAATTTATATCGAGTTCTTCAGATAAAATACCTTGGTATCATTTTTGATTCTAAACTTTTATTTAATATACATTTATTAGAAATTACCAAAAAAGCTCTATCGGTTTTTTCAGTACAATTAAATGGAACTGTTTTCAGTTCAATAATTCTATCACATTCAAATGCCTCTCTTATTAGACCACATCTGAAGTACGCTAGTCTAATTTGAGAAACCAATACTCTAAGCCATAGCAACTAAATTGAATCCATTCAAAATAAAGTTCTTCGTTATATATCTGATAAATGCAATATTACCAGACAACCTTTTAAAAGATAAAAGATTTAATTATCATACCATGTTCCTGGAAAAACTTTTAAATAATGTGATTGATGATTCCTTCCTTTTAAGTCTAATAAACTTTAAAACAAACATTACAATGTATGTGACAAGTACCTCTTTTATATTCCGCAATGTTCTAAACAATATTTAGTAAGTTCTCCTATTAATTTTTTATCTCCTCTCTTCTCAATGGTACTCTCAATGCACCTGACTTACTAGCGAATGTTTCTTCACTCGAAATCACTCCGTCTTCTTCATTCCAGCTCACCTCATGTCTTATAGCATAGCCTGTACCTCTACTTATCATTTTAATTTAACTGCATACTAATAATTGTTCTCTTACCACTGCCCTCAGAGTGTTTATATATTTAAATAAAAAATAAAAAATATTAATTTAATACAATCTGCCAGTATACATTCTTTAATGATAAATTATTTACATGTAGCTAAGATAATGTTTTGGTTTTTTCTTTTCTTTATAGTGTCATTTATTAATTTATATAATGGAAAACCTAATTAATAGTTTTAATTTTAAATGTGAATTTTTGTAACTTTAATGTAATTTTTTTATATTCTTTTAATTATTATTTAATCTTAAGGTATTACCAAAGTTTTCATTATTGTATGATTTGTCAATGAATTTGGACTTATATCCGTTAATAAATTTTAAAAAAATATATATATATATATACTTGAATAACTTGTTAGTTAAAAATGTTTAAATATAATCTAAATTTGTTTTTTTTTGTATGTATAGGTACAAATGGATGTATCATGTTGGTTTGTCCAAGATCAACTTAAAGGTGATTTAGCCACTGAATTGCGAATAAAATTTAACAAACGTTTAGAAGACGCTATTCCTGCTGGAGAAGATTAGTTATGACTCAAACTAATCTGTAAATTATATAAAAAATATTTATATTTAATTTGTTTTTTACCCTATTCATATTTCTAATAAGTATATTTGTTATTATCTATAAATAAATAGTGTTTATATAAAAACTTACTTTTATTATTTGAAATTTAATTTATTGATGGCGTTTCATCATCACTTTCTTCACTACATTTAGTCTTTACTGAATCATTTCTGGGTTTAAGATGTATTTTTTTCAGTATTATCTGTGACTATTAAATAAACTCTCCATTTCTTCAACCTTTCTTCAGTTTCTTCAAGAGTTTCAATTACTTTTAATATTAAAAAAATATATGTGTAAACCAGTGGTTTTCAACATGTGTGTTACGGCATCCAGGGGCGTCTTTGTTTATTATTAAGGAAACTAAATTTATAGTAAATATAGTGGACTATTACAGTAAATTTATTTATTTTAATTTTTTTTTATTATCATTATTTGTAAGGGAACCACTAATTTGGTTTTCAAAATCAGAAGAGCCATGGACCCAAAATGGATGAAAATCATTGGTATAAACAATGAATTTATTTTATTATCCTTAGTTATTTTAATTTATACAGACTAGTATTTTGTTTTTCTATCCTATATTTCTATAATAATTTTCTTTGTCCAAACCCCCAATTATTCAATAGTTATACAGTAGCACCAATCAGCTGCATCAAGTTCTTTGAGCAACACCCTCGAAATGTCTCTGAAAACAAAAAGACAAATAAATATTAATTATTAATAATATAAAGGTGTAAAAAATATTTGCAGAATGTACTTATTTTATATCAAAATATAAAATAATGTGATGGATATTTATCACTAATAGGTAATAGTATCAAATGTATTAACATTTTTAATGTCACCTGTTATTTTAGAATACATTGGACCAATAGCTTAAACTGCTAAGCAGACATGAGAAATTATTAAACTTACATCAAACATTATTATGTTTTTCACAACACCTAATTTTCAGCATTTATCTCAAGATTCTTTTGATATTAAAGTTTAATTACTGAATCACGTACTGAAAGACACATTGTTGTCAAATGTTTCTGTTTCAAATAGATTTTTTACAATTGCAATACTTTCATGTTTTCCTCATTCACCTCTCATTTTATCAGGCCTCTAAAGGTAAATTTAAAACAATGTTTGTAGCCTTGTAAGAGAATATTTTCAGGCGGAGACTGGCTGGGTTGCTGGGGATGCTACAGCATTCTATGTCCCAATTGGTATGAATTCATCTTAATAATTTAAAATTAATATGCATTTTTAATAAGAAAGTTATAATTCTCTGATAATTTAATAAAAGATATTAGATCTATAATAAATATATTAAGTATAAATAATTTGTTTACAACAATTTAATAGGTTATATTATTATTGATATTGTGTATTACACAATATGTGTACATTTTGGCGAGGGCCATGGATTTCCTACTATAAATAATATTATACTTCAGGTTTGTGATTTCAGGAATTAGATACCAACTTTTATATTATATTCTAGAATTTAGAATTTTGTTACTGGTGTGTGGTATAATTATTTTAAGAAAATCGTACACTCGTTTTAGGATTTTAGGATGCATATTAGTATATTTATCCTAAGATTTTGTTACCTGTGAGTGGTATGAGTGGTATAATAATATTCTAGGAAAGTCATATGTAATTAATATTCACCTAATAATGAAAATAAATTGAAATTAGGGTTGGTAATATACGTGTATAAAACGTTTTATGCGTTCAACGTATAATTCCCCAACCTCGCATATTTAAACGTATACAGCTTGGGTTCATTAAGTTTTTCATAGTAGTGATAATACTGTACATTTTAAATTGAATACGTATTTAAACTTATACATTAATAAAACAAATTAACAAATAACATCAACATAAATTCCTCTCTATATCCTACTTTCCCAACTTCTCATTTATAACAGTGACCCACACATCGTGCAAAATGTATACGTCTCTTTTTGTACCTAATACCTATTACGTGGTTAATAATAGTATTAAATATCTAATACTCGTACCTAGATATAATAAGTACATAGAGCATCTCCTTAAAAAATATCTGTGTCTCGTTCAGTGTACACTGTATGGTTTAATTATCATTCGACCACTGTCAATATCTTTCATAATAGGTCAACATTTTTGCGTAAAATCAATGATTCCATGTCGTTTTTTGTACTGGAACAATATATTTGGTAGAAAATAAGATAAAGCGTAGAAATTTAAAACAATGAAATCGTACCTACCTAACGCCGTAAATTTTTTCAGTTTTTATTTTATTGTTTTTTCCGATTTTTCATTATTGTTATGCAAACTACTAAGAAAATCGAAAAACGGCGTTTTTCGTAAACAACTAGATCCACAATTCAACAAAAATGGTCTGTTGTCGTTTTATTATTGGAATAATATTTTTGGTAGAAAACATAAGTTACGAAAATGTAAAATCATGAAATTATTACGCTGTAAATATTTGTCTGTTTTTTCTACGTTTTGTTCCTGGTTTTTCCCAATTATTATAAAAACTGTTTGGAAAATCAAATGACATGCTTAAAGTGCCAACTAAATAAAATTTCCTTTCAGAAATCATGCTAAACTTAATATATCGAGAGCAAGATTTTTGGTTGAAATTTTGTACACAGTATAAAAAAATAAAAAATAAAAAAATATAAACATTGTAAAACCAATACATTCAGAATTTAAAATTAAAGAAATTGGCGTACTAAACATTTACTAGGTATTTAAATAGTTAGTACAATAAAAAGCAAATTTATTTTTACTTGGTTCAGAAGGCTATGAGAGTTTCTTTTTTTTAAGTTTTTTTCAATAGGAATACTTGAACTACATTCAGATTGATTAACTGCAGTTTGAATTTCACCTATCTTTGAATTTACTTTGTTTATATTTATATATTAGTATTTTCGTTACTTATAGCGGTATTTTTAAATGAATTAAATCCATAACTAAGTTGATAATGCTCCGAAAAAACATCATATTATACTATAAAACAAAATATTCAATACAATTAATCATTTATAGTATGTACCTGTAGTAAATACATCGAAAACTATTCTATTTAATTAAAAATTAATACAGGTGAGAAAAAAGAAACTGATAACTAAATTGTCAGAGAATACTGTAAATTAGGGGATACTCCGATTGTGTATGTACCATTTTTATTTTATACCTTTTTCATAGCCCGTTTTATTGACAAATTATTTTGAATTGCCCAAGTTTGTCCGCATTCGCATCGATACATATATTTAAAAACTGATAAACTTAATAATTGATAAACTGTTTTGTTGAGAAACAGCATTTTATTTACATTTAGCATTTTATCATTTCATTAACTTTGATAATAAAACTAAGCAAAAATACGGTTAATAGTCGTGTTGTAGGTAACAAAGTTAGAGAACGAATGAAGTGCCGTGAAATTATTCTACAGGTACACATATATTAATTATTATTTATCATGCATTTTTACTAAAATAACTATTTTTATCTGGCTTAATTTCAAAATAGTTTTACATTTTTTTACACGTTCATAATGAAATTAAAAAAAAAAACAATTAGTATCATGTATTACCATTATGTTAGTTCTGAAGTTCAGTCGATAGTGATACTTTGTCAACAATATATATACATATATATGTCATATTATGGTAAAATAATTAAAAAGGCTTTATATATTTTCTTGAATATTATTTGTTTAATGTTGTCTCGTTTTTCCTCTGTTTTTTTTTCGGTTTTTCAAATTTGATGAGAAAACCGCCGAGAAAATCAAAAAATGACGTTCATAAAGTATCTTCCCATGCCGATTTTCTTTCAGAAAAGGTGCTACACTTAAAAATCCGAACAAGTCTTCTGGTAGAAAAGTTGTGCACAGATAAAAAAAATAAAATAAATATCTTTGTAAAACCAATACATTCTTCACTGCACTCAGAATCTAAAAATTACTACACTTTAATCAAATCAAACAAATTACTCCTCACCGCTTTATCCAACCACACGTAATCTTATGTTTCACATGCTCATGAAAGTCACCTTTCTTTTGTACAAAAGATTCTAGGTACTTAAAACTCTCAACCTCGTCTATAGCTCCTTATTGTCGTTAACTGTCTTATTCTGTTTCTTCGAACTCATACTCTGTTTTACTTATACCTATATCCTTAGTTTCTTTTCTTCAATTGTTACTCTCTATTTCTTAAGTCTACTGTTAACTTAATCCAGATTTTCCACTAGTAAAGTTATATAATCTGCAAAACATTATGCACCCCGATACCTCCTCTCATCTGTTGTCCCCACGCACATCCGAGATGGGAGAACCTGCCAAATTCTTGTTTAGAACTCATATTGTTTGACAAAATTTTACGTCGGCTGTTGACCTGACGCAACCACATTCATCGCCTCTTACGACTGGTACTGTGAGAGTATTTTAATCCTCTCCCACAGGGAACAAGTTGAACACAATATAAATACGTAATAATATTATTATATATAATGTATTGTAAAGTTCTATCGCCCAATTACTTTTCGAATGTTTGAATGATATTCGAATAATTCCGGTTTTCAAAAAAACTATTTATATAATTTTAAAACGGCGAACAACTATAAATTATTTAATATCAGTAGGTATTTATGTAATTATGTTCACCAATGTGTCTAACAATTAAATAGAATTTTTGTCCAAACTTCAAGTTTCTACAAATATTTGAAACTCAATAACAACAAAAAACAAAATTGAAAATAATAAAACCACTATTTTCGTACATTTTCCCGTTTTTTCTATGTTTTTTTCGGTTTTGCTCAATTATTAAAAAAACTACAGGGCAAATCAAAAACCGACTTTATTAATTATTCACCGATTAAATTGAAAATTCAACGTGAAAGGTCTCTTGTCGTTTTCTATCGGTGCAATATTTCTGGTAGAAAAAATAAGTCGTACAAAATTTAAAATAAAAAATCGTAATTAATTCATAATACAATCTGCTCTCAAATTATCATTGAAATCAAATAATTAGTTATTAGTAATTACTAACATCTAATTATTATCTCATTAGTCGCTACTAGTTAATAATTACTAATTACCATCAGCTTATTTCCTAATAATCTAATCTCCTTCATATTACAATATTATCATTCCTCCGTACTGTATGTTATATGATGCATATGTGTTGTGTATTTCTGAACTATATCGCTCCCCCAAGATCACTCAAAGACGTTACTGATTTTGGCTGCATCCGAGTTCCGACCCGAATGTACAATTTGAAATTAAGGATAAACTAGTTCCGTCCCGGGTTTTTAAAACGGATACACTAATTTCATCCCATGCAATTTATTTAGTTATACGAGTTCCGTCTCTTTTTGCGTTTTCTACACTATATTAATTTAGTATAAAATTTACGACTACGATAATAATTTTATATCATTTGGAAATAAAGACAATATTGCTTTAAAGTTTTAATATCGCACTAAATAATCGAATTTAATAATACTGTATTGTTTAGAAATAAAGACAATACTATTTAACTTTTAAACTATCTAGTCATTAATTTCGCGTCTCCGTGTCTGGATTTATTTATCTCTGGTATTTTATATCTGGTAATATTTTTCTTCTCCCTTCCTTGTACAGTTATAACCATTGTTTTTATCGAGGACGGAACTCGGATGCAGCCCTGATTTTTGGTAGGTAGCGGTTTTGAGCCTTTTACAATTTCGAAATAAATTGACAATGAAATTCCGGACCGTGTTAAAAAGGACCCTTTCCTTCCCCTCCCCCACACACTCTTCGACGGTTACGCGACTGTCTGTATTTGTAGACCGCAGCTGTCGCGGTGATTGTCGCGACCGCCGCCGCGCAGCTGCAACGTACACAGCGCTAGCTGCCGTTCAAGCGCCCGCCGCCGCGGCCGTAGGCTTTCCTCGTCAATGAACGCGTATTATCAGTACGATGCATTTCGCTGCAGGACCGTGCACGGTTATTCGGCCGCGTGAAATATACCGTGCACGGGTCAGCACTGACGTAGGCCGTCCGCTAATCGATAATATTGTGCCAGTGGATAGGAATAACAGATGATGTAAATAAACGGACGGCGTGTTTTGACTAGTTTTTCTCGCCGTCGACGGCCGTGTCCGTCTGCAGTCGTTTGCGTTCTCGCCGCGTGCCGCGTCTTACAGTCCGTCCGTCGTATCTGTCCGCGCCGCTCTGGACCATTTGGATGATACCGCGTCCGGTAAATACGAAAATTATGATTGCGATTAGTGAGTACCCATACTCGTCATTATAACCCGGCGGGTTTAGAGAAATCCAAATACGTGCGCCGTTTTTGTACTTGTCGTACTGGTCGTACCCGTTCTGACGGTTATTTTCGCCGTGGCTGTAATATATAATATAATATAACCGTGGGTAACGGCTAATTCGGCGGGCATCGCGGTAATTATACACGTTTTACCGAACTCGTCCGACCAACAGCGAACAACGCGTTGCGTTTTGACCGATAACGTTATTTTGCCGTAATCCCGTCATAACTACGGCGTTCCGGGTATCGCAACGAACCGTGCGATTATGGTACGCCGGTCGTTCATAGTGAACTGTCGGGCACTGATTGGATAAACTCGGATAAACGTACGCAGAAAGTGCGAGCGATTCGGTCCTGCTGTTCAGCTATCGTTTTTTCAGTACGCATTACCAGTCGCTCGGTGGGCTGTTTTATTTTGTTTTTTTTTTAAATAGCCCGGAGACAACGCAGGTTCTCCGGTGCTTTGTCTTCGTTTAAGCGGTGTTTCGATATTCGCGGACATGTTCCACGGTCCGCGTTTGATAATCGGAAACGTGATTGCACGGGTATACCGCACTACCTAGGCGGGCTTATCGTAGTGGTAGTCCCGTCTTTTATATTTATCAGCATATTAATGTTGACGAAATTTCCCTACAACGTTCATACTCCGCGCGATAAAGTCACTTTTTGATTGCATATTCCTTGCATGCGCGCAATTTATTCATTTTCAACTATATTATGATAATGCACACGTACACATATACCTATACATTGTATCAATAATGCATTGAAATTTATGTTTAGAATGACAACGTATCTTTATCCTGCACAGAAAGTAGATATCTGGATGTATTCTACAGAGACACCTGTGTATTTCCCTTCCGTTCCGTAGGTAATTTATTCAAAGTTTGCTGTCTACAAAGGCTTTTACTTGTGAACTCTATGAATAAATAATCGCGTTTATAAACATTGTTGCTGTACAGCTTCAATTCAGTGCATCAAAAAGGACTTGGAAATTAGGAAATAATATTTGGTTATTTCATTGAAACGTATCTTAGGTGGGTATCTACTATAGCTATTGTGGTGTGTTCAGTGGCGAACATGGAAATTCGTTTTTTTTTTTCGGGGCGGGGGGGGAGGGTATTAAAAAAAAAACTTTTGGGTTTTAGTTAGTACATAGATTGAATCAATTCGCGGATGCACGCGTGTACCGTACCAACTATAAATTCCGTGGGAGGGGGTCGAACCCCCAAAAACCCGCCTCTGTATGCGTCACTGAGCACGTCGACTTGACGAAATTGAAACACGCGAACGATTTTTGTTTCCCGTGTCAAATCACCAGTGCGGTCTAAAATATACCGGGCGTCAAAGGAAAGGGCCCCGGAAAACTGGTTTAAAACATCGGTTATTATTCATATTCTTCCGGGGCGAGTGCTCTTTGTTTCGCGACGTCTGAACCGCTGGGGGGGGGGGTTGTCTGAATCGCGTCGGTACGAACACCGTGGCACGCAGTACCGAGTTATTGAATTGAAATCTCGGGAGGGCGTGATACCCGCATAAACAGTGTTTTGTTTTTTATTTCGGTAGCCGGGTATGTGCGGTGTGCCAACAATGAGAACACCGTTTTTGAATCGTGTTATTTCGCGCGTCTGTGTCCCCGCTGGAATATCGGTTTATCGAAGAAAAAACCAACACAGTGTGTGCGCAGACGGTTTTCACGTCTCCCAATTTGATGATGTTGGCCGTTTCAACCCCAATGTCAACGCTAACGGCACAGCGTCGTTGCTGCTGAACGCCGATTCGCCAGCACACGCGGCCGTCACGTTTTCTTAAGGGTGCCGGCAATTTCTTATTTTGCGACATCCATTAGCAATGTAGACCATAACATTCAATGCAATCGGCCCGAACGGCGTAGTGAAGCAATAAGAATTCTAGAAAAAAAAAAATTGAATTTAGCGCGAATTGTACACGAGATCGGCGTCAGGCCAATGTTTTCAATTTCATTTCTTTGTTTTTTTTTTTTTTTTTCGTTTTTATGTTTACTTTTTCAAATCTTCAAATTTTTATTTTCTTGAAACCGAGTACTGGAATTCGAAAAAGTGGGCTAGACATCTTTTCAGAATTCTCATCACGTACTCCTAATAATTACATCGATCGGATTGATTGCAGAAAAATCGGTTTAAATTGCTATGTTGACGTGTTAGACAAAGAAAGAAAATATTGGTATCCGATAATCCGATGTCCGTAAGATGACGCCACACCGACATCTTCTGTCTCTACTGTCTTATAAACGCGAGACCTAGCAAATTTGCGTTCAGAAGGACAAATTTTGTGCCACAAGTTTTAATATCAAAGCGAATTGACCCATTTAAAGTTCAGAAAATTATATGTGCCCTAGTGTTGATGTTTTTTCGATTTTACATTTTTAAGCAAGGTATACAGTTTTTAATTGTGATATTTCACATACTCGTAATTCATTTTAAAAATTAAAATATCGAAAAAAAAAAAATTAACGCTTTAGCACAGATAATATTCTTAACTGATAATAGATCAATTTGCTTTAATGTTAAAACTAACGACGCGACATTTGTCCTAATGAATGACAATTTACTATGCCGTGCGTTTGTTAGACGAAGATAGTAAGTGCGGGTGTGGCGTCCTCATAACATTTCCGGACTGCGTAAGACGTATTATTTGTTATCATTTATATAAATAGTACATTATCTCGTGTTCCTAAGTTTTATCGGTCTCCAATATTGTTTGTTTAATGTCTAATATATGTTACCAAATTTAAATTTTATTTAGTTTTATAATATTTATATTATATTATCTATAAGGATAAATATTTATTTTCGATATATAAAATAACGACGTCATAGGATTTTTGAAGTGAGGTAAGGATAAGGAATTCGAATCATGTACAGAAAATGCCACTATACATATTTTCACCAAAGGTCGAAAAGAGTAAAAAGGCTTCTTAATTCGTGATAACTATACACAATCGACATAATAAACAATCAAACATTTTTTTTTTCTATTAATCACATAGATGAGGATCATAAATATTTCTATTTCAATTTTTTATTATGCTTTGGTAAAATCTTAAAAAAATAACTTTTTATTTTATTAATTTTGAAAGAATTTTAAGATAGCCATTTTATAGAGTTTATTAATTCTTCCGAAAATATTGACGTATCAACTTTTTATTTTCATTACATTTGTGATTTTCAATAATTTTTTAAAGTTCAGAGGAAACGAGTGTACAGTCAATTAGCCCAATTAGCCATAATATAAATGATCAATTAGCCTGCTGGATAGTTGTAGGTACTTTTTTCTGAAATAAAAATATACAAATTTAATTCAAATAAAAATATTTGTAGTCCTTATCTCTGTGAGTAATATAAAACAAACATAATTTGATGATCTGTATTACCTTAGGAGATATTGTAATGGGTATATATTTTCGTGGGGCATCCTGTATACCTAATAATTATTTGCTTGACCTTTCAACTCCCTGAATTCTCTATTCGTAAAAAAACATCGGTGTTTTATCGATACTTAAAAGTTGTAAATGTAGGTTTTGACGAATGAATAAACTAAATATAATAATCGAACATTTATTGATATTTTGCAGTTAATTTTCGTAAGAGAATTAACAGTCCAAGAATCGCAGGAGAGTGTAATTTGCACTAAAATAAAGGTATTTAATTGGCGCCATCTTGGATGTGTTCGAATAAAAAGTCTTTGCAATTATTTGTACCACCAAAATCACTGTCCGTGTCGATTATTATTCCATGTCGATGTAATATTACGTGTCATTTCCAGTTTTATTTCGTCCGCATCTAGCCGAGAAACAACTGGCAATTCAGAATGGCGAAAATGCGACGTCGACCTGAATGGTTTTTACAACTATGTACAACCTATTTATAATAATGTTTTATTTTTGAATTATAATTTAACGGATAATTTATACGATTTTTTTTTTTTTTATTTCAAATTGTCCGACCTTTAATTGACCAACTTTCCTTATGCGGGCCATTTCAAAATAAATTGACCACTGTAATATTGTTATTGCGGTTTATTTCGTTGTATATTTTTGTACTCGGATTACCGACGTCATCGTCTGTCGTCTATGTAAGTTATTGTTTTCGTAAGGTGAGGTATTTGTGGTGTACCCATGTTGGAAACGTCTCATTGTCGTGCGCCGGTCGAGCAAATATAAAACTCTACGTCACAGAATGAGTTTTATTCCGGAATATTCTGCGCTGTTCGCGCAGAATATCTCCTCACAATAATACAGCAACGTAAGCCGCATAATATATATACAGTGCATATTATTATATTACGTAGTCGTATGATAATAATACATTTGAATACTATATTATCGAAACTTGTACGTACCATCGAAAGACTAATCGATTCGAATTCCGGCACGAGCACTCGAATTACAATTCATGTTGTTCATTATCAGCGCGATGATGCAAATAATAAACATACATATTTCCATTACTTTTGCGCAAATCACAAACGCGTTTCACGATTTCCGCGCGTTGTTTATATTGTGTTTTGGAGCAAATTCACTACAGCCGTAAGTAGGTGTAGTAGGTACCCCCGTGTATTTGAATGTGCGCTTTCCGTATTGTACGCTACGGGTAAAATAATTATCAGTTTTTTGGCGATCAATCAAAAATATTACGCGTCAGTGTAATTCAAAATTTAACGCCGAGCCGATGTGCCTTTTTTTTCCCAATGTTCTCGACAACCCTGCGATTTGATATCGATCTAGAGCCGATATTTGAATTTGAAAACCGTCAGCGGCGTGAGCCGATATTGAAAATAACCGATTTATCGGTTGAAAACGGTTAGATATTAGGAACGCGTTTGTACCCGCGGACGTTTTCTCAGTTTTTCTCCCCGAAAATATCGAGGATATACCTGTATGTTATTATAAATATTGAAGAGAAAAAGGTCACGAGGGGACCTGTATGTCCCATTATCTTCCCCGTTTATCCACCCCTGTCAATAATATAAACACAAATATTTATACCGTTATACAACATTAGGCGTAAACAATTAAACGAAAACAACTTTTCAACAATTTTACAGAACGTGTTCACATGATGACCAGACAGCGAAATATGTTTTTATTTTTATTTATTTTTTTTATCGTTTTCAACTATCCCATAAATATCACGAAAAATCGTTTTTAGTATTGTTGTTAGAGTATAGAGTTGGGAAATATATATAC